AGGTAGATAGATAAAGGAAAGCTGAGGTGCGTGCCTCCGCCCCAACGCCCATCAAGAGGAAAAAAAAAAAAAAAAAAAAAAGCAAACATCCCTTCTGATCGTGCATACCTGTCGACTGTCTGTCTTTTCCCAGGCGATCGGGTCAGGCGAACGGCGGGGGAATCTTCTTTTCCCCCCTCCCATTTTGTCATGTCTGAAAACAAGGTGATGAAAATCGTGCTTTTGTTGTGGGGACTTTTGGGAGGAAGATGTCGAGGAATCGAAGTCAAAAGTGCGAGTCAGTCAGGTGAGATGTGCTTTGTCGAGTCACTGTTTCAATCCACTGCATCATCATGGATAATGGATCCATGATATTTGTTTGCTTTTCCCTTTTTGGCAGCTGCACAATGGTTCTAGAGTCACCTGACTGACTACCGTGCAGGACTCATCAACTTTCTGAAGGAGAGCAAACTTGTGTGTATATTTGGCACTCCTTGATTATTGAATTGATTCCACCCCCCTCCCCCTCTCCCAATTATCGAGCAATCACACAGAAACTGACTATTCGCAAACTAAACCATGGCTATTGCCACTGCCCCCGTATCCTTGTGGAGCCGGAAACGCGACCTCATCTACTTTGCATTCTTCGCCATCCATGTCCCTATCATCTTCTGTAAGTTCGGTCGGGAATTGTCCCCTCAAACTACCGACCCCGTTTTACACCTCCCCGGTCCAATGCAGAGGGACAGTTATCCTGTACCACATTGCTCCCCGGCACAGATCAGACGTAGAGACAGCAACCCTCCCCCCATGATAAAAATTGATCCCTTGTATGAGACATCAAGAAGGGAAAAACTGACTGACGCACATCCATCCATCAGTGGTCGACGCCGCGCCAATCCTACCGTCCTTCCTCCAGTCGGATCTTAGCGTCACTCTTCGGGAGTTCTACATCGAAACCTACCATGACAAATTCTTCGAGGAGGCCCCAACGGCCTGGTTCTACTTTTTCCTCTTGATGGAACTGTTCTATCATGTTCCGCTCAGCGTCTGGGCTCTGCGCGGCCTGAAGAAAGGTATGTGGATCCCCCTTTTATTTTTTTTTTTTTTTTTGGTTGCTCTTCGGGTCCATGATCTACATCCCCTCCCCGAAAACTAGTTCTCCTTACATCACAGCCCTGTCCCTGTCTCCATCCGTTTCCACTGAGGGGGAAGAGAGTGCGGCTTAACTTACCATGACAGATGATCCTCTGGTTCCCGTTCACTTGCTCGTCTTCGGGGTGCAATCGTTCCTCACCTCTGCGATCTGTCTGGTCGAGGTATGGAGCTGGACGGATCGCTCCGTCGACCAGAAGCAGAATATCACGATGCTGTATGGGCCATATGTTGCGCTCGGTAGGTTATTGCCTCTGTTCTCTACGGGGGGTAAACTATAGAGTGGCCGGCTGACTATGCGGTCCTAGGCGCTTTCATGGCAGTTGATATGTTCTGTAGACTTCGCGAGCGGCTTGTGCCCAAGTCCAAGTTGGACTAGCATTCTAGTATCAAACTTCTAGGGTTAGTTCATGACAGCTCCATGTTCGAGCTAACTCGCGAACTTTGGTGGCCGGTTGGCTAGATATTCAGGGAAGCAGTACTTGGTCGCCACATACGCACATTGAACACTACAACTGCTCGGGTAGAGGCACGCAAGGATGCCGACTTGCCTTATCATAGCTCCAGGCTATTAAATTATGGCATTTATGCTCGCCACTGTACAGGTATGGGTGCATGCCGGGAAACAGCAGAACCCGCCACACCGACTCTATGTGAGAATAGTGCACGATAAGAGTGAGAGACAGGGCGCCTGCAGGGTAATTTGGCCAAGGGAAAATGTAGCAAGATCGCGAGACAAAACTCCTTCAAGGAAAGCAAATGGTGACTGGTATCTATTCCGCCTCGTAGAAACCTTCATCGTAACAATGAAGTTGAGAGTCACAGGGACAAAATGCGAGTAACATCAGGAGACCATTTGTTACTATGACAGGACCAAAATCGCACCTCACACGGTGCACCTTCGGCACGGTAATGATAGATCAAATTTGAGCGGTAACAAAGGAAATGGCCGGGCCTCGCCCGGTCAGGTCAAGGCAGTCCACGTCAGGTTTGTGACATTACGCAATCAGATCAAGAATCCAATGGCCTCATCCAGGTTCCCGTTGGCGGCATCTAATGCACGCATTGCTTCTTCCCGTGTGAAGCCCAGCTCCGTGATCTTCCCAATGGAATCTTGTGGCCAGCGCGATGTTGGTGGGGCTGGGCGGGAAGGAGGAGGTGCGGAGCCACCAGATCCTTGACTGCTGCCGCCGGCCTGGTGCGTGACCGCTCCGGTTCGGGCGCCAACTTCGGCGCCATCGGGACCTTTGATGACGGGTTCGTCCTCGAACTCGTCCTGAAGGTGTCTGGGAATGTCCGCTTCACCCAGGAAAGGGACCGCTTGATCCTGGATTACCAGGGCACCCTTCTGGAGATCAATACAGGCCTGATGCCGTTTCAGCATGTCCAAGCCCAAGAGCAGATCGATATGCTTCCCTTCCATGACAGTAAAGGAACATGGCAGGAACATGTTTCCAATCTTGATTTGTGCCGAGTGCACCCGGCCTAGGATGGTTGCTGTTCCCACGCCCTTTGCAATACCGCCGTACCGTTGATCGACGAGTCTCATAATGTTGCACGCGGTCGCACACTCCGGCGACATGATGGTGACTTGTGCACCAGAATCAACAAAAGCGTTGAGTTTGTGGCCGTTGACCTCGACAGGGATATATAACATGGTTACGCGACCGAATGCTGTGCTGCTTGTTTAATGACCAGCTCCGCAAACGTGAAGACTTGCAGGTCCGACTTACACTCCGGATGATGCTCCATCGCATTATGGAGGTTCTCCGTCACCGCATTCTGACGAATGATCTCCTCAATCTCCTTCTGGTTTTCGGGATTGAACGGATCGGCATTCAACATGGCAATCCGCGCCTCTTTCTCCGCCTCCATTTGAGCTTCGCGGGTTTGTTGTCGGGTGAGGACCTCGCGGAACCGTTGCGGATCGTTGGCAGCATCCGCCAATTCCGGGTTCTGCCTTCGGACGGCTTCCCGCACACGAGGGTCACCCAGAATATGTAGGCGAATGGTCTCGGGATCTGGAGTCATTGCCTGTCGTCGCTGCAGGTTCTGTTGAGCGGCAGCAGAGCTGGGTCCTCCTATGCTCCGGGTGGGCGCGGGGGGTGCTCGCAGCATCACATGGACACCTAGCATATCCCCTTCGCCGATGCCGACTTGTTCAAGTGTTTGAGAGTCATTTCCGAGGAGTTGGTTGTTATATACGAGTCGCTGAGCGGTGGGTGGTATCGAGGTTTCACTTTCGACGATGGCTTTCAGAAGCTCGACCGTCATATCCGCCCCGACTTCGAGGGAGATGATATCGGCATCCGCCTGGTCCGGCCGAATAACGCTTACGGTAATGCGCCTGAATATAGTTAGGATCATCGTTAGCTATGACATTCCAGTTGGACATAATTTTCTCCGGGCGTATGCTCGTTTGCGACGTACATGATGCTGTGCAGCTCTAGGTGCGGGGAAGCTCTCCCAAGGTCGGAACGAGTAAGCTGTAACAAGAAGCTTGAAATGCAGGGAGGCTGCTCAAATAGGAGACCGAAACCAAGTCTGACGAGACAATAGGTATATTATATACTTTGAACTGTTCGTATGCGACAAAGGTGGGTTGTTTCTGAGAAATCCGTAGGGGGGCAAGCAAAGGTAAGCGGGGACGAGCACGCGAGGGAAGATGGTGTGATAGGAGGAAGAGGAGGAGCAGGACACGGGAGGAAAGAGAGGACGAGGGGGAAAGAGTCGGAAAGAAGCAGAAGTAGGTAAGCTTAGGAAAATAGACAAGACTAGAGAGGGGATGCGTGGTTTGTTGCCCAGACAGAGGAAGCCAAGGCAATGAGTGCTAGTATTGAACTAATAATGAAGGCGGGATGGCAAGTTACGGTTCCTGGTGAAGTGCAGCAACGGAGGCCCGGCATCCGGCCTGATTCGGCAGGCAGAAGTAGGCAGAAAGTCATGCGTCATCCGCTCTTCAATCGGTTGGACCTCTTCCAACAACCTGCGACCGCGGATTTTACTGGCGAACCCCAAACATTTCTTCCTATACTACCTTACTAACATCCTACTTCTGCTTATGAAGGCCGACTCTTGGCCTCTTCCTTCTTCTATGACTGACTTCTGCTCGTATGCAAAGATGGAGAAGACAATCATGTCGTGTTCGCTGAGATTCTAGACCATTCTAGACCCAGATTGATCATCACAAATAGATCACTCGAAGTACATCTCACTTCATGTTTGTTGTCACGTCGTCGACCATCAAGCCCACTACTAGTATCAAACTGCTTTCGGACTGACGCTGACTCTACTTACATTACTTAGGTACTGACTAACTTTGATAGAACTCGTCCTCGAAACGACCCTAGCAACAGCTAAAACTATATATTGTGGGGACATCATGAGCGTTGCCATGCTTCAACATTCTAGACTGGTGATATAACGTCCCGGGTGGCACGCCAGTGCTTCTGGAGAGAGCAATACTGTGCATTTGTATTGTCGGGGTGTCAATTCAATTCACCATCTTCATACTTGATCATCGAGGAGGTAGTTTAAGGACCTAATCACATGAACGAACTCTATCTATCACCCTAGCCGATAGCCGGACCCGTGGGAGCTTTTGAGTTCTGTCGCTGATCATTTCTCAACTATCTTACATACTGTTAGCCTGACACTACCTGGCTTTTGCTAATGCCTTCTGACGTTTGAACTAAACAGAGTATGCATCTGGATTTGAATCGAACAGCCCCTCTGTCGATGGATTCGCTGGACAAATGCAAGTCACTGATCAGCAATAGCACACTTGAGGCACTGCTACCTCGGGTAGGTCTGTGGTGTTGCCCCATCTTAACTATCAAACGCGCTTGCGGTGCGATACCCGCGTCTTGGACTGCTGGAATTGGACAGCAGCTTTGTGAACACAAATAGACAGACTGCCTCGCGAAGATGGCCTGGATAATGTCATAGGTCTCGTGGCCCGCGTTATAACGTAAGACTGCCAAGGTCTCAGAGAACCCGACTGGCGATGAGTTTTGCTAGTCTGGCTGATCTAATCGTGAACGCGCCGCTACACTGTTTGCCTTTTTGGTGATGCCGCAGACTAGTTGTGCTCGGGACCCTGGTCAAGTATCCGGCTTAGCCTGCGAATATGATGGTCCAAACCGAAATTAGTGGCAAGCGCGGATGTTGTTATTTTACTCCCCATGACTCGAGGCACATGCGAGGAATAGGCTGACATTGTGGCTATTATTATTCTTTGCGTGACCGACAGGAAGAACTACAGTTATTGAGGTGAGATTGGCATGACACTATAATTCATAGGATAACTATTCCAAGCGCTTGGCCACTGATACATCTGGTACACCCTCACCCTCCACAATCTTCGCACCAACAACTTCGTCGACTGGAATCTCAGCCAAGCGGGAAACGATGTGATGCAATGTGGGTAGTTGTGTCCAGTTGAGGCCGTTGATCTCGAATGTTGCGTTCTTGGTGGTTCGCAACCGAGTGATCTTGGAGGGAACCACTTTCGCCTCTTCTGCATGTGGCACAATAACAGGGTATTCTGCTTCGGGCACTCCCTTGTTCTCATGGCCAACCTTGGGGAAATAGCGGTGCACCAAGATACCCACACTGGAGGGATTAGGGTTCGTGTTCATCTCCGGCACCTGATCCTCAAGGTCCTCCAAGTGGAAATGTCCCCAGACTGCACCCTGCCAGCTGGTTGTCAGATGGTGTGATTTGCTGCGGTCGTGGGCATCAATGGCTGTATACAACTTGGGCATGCCAAGCTCTTCGCGGCCACTGACAATAGGATCCGTCAGACTCTCGAACAGAATCGGCAGGTAGGTGCCCTCGACTGTCTCGCCGTTGTTTTTCTTGTACTGTACGCCCTCGATGTAAAGCCCGATGTGGCGGTAACCGCCTCCGCCGAGCCAGTCCATGCGGTGGAGTTTTGTCTGGGAGAAGCTCGCATAGGCTACGGTACCCTGATTCACGAAGGACCAGGAATCGTTGGGAAGTAGATTTTGGAGGCAGGTCCGACTGGTCTTAAATCGGATCGAGACCGTCTCGAAAGTGGCCTTGAGTGATTTCTGAACACGGTCACGACCGTACCAGTCCTGCCTGGGACCAGGCATGGGCCCGAACACTATCGGCTGACGCCAGTATTTGGGTGCCCCTTGACGCCAGATGTGTTTCCGCAGGATATTGGTCGAATAATCATGTTCGTCATGTCCGTAGATATAGTCTTCCATTCGATGGACTAAAAGAGGTTAGCACACTCTAATCAGACGATTAAAAGAGAGTGAAACTGACTCTCTTCGACGGGTTGAGGGCCATCAGAGTCTCGAGTCATCTGCTGAATTGTGGTAGCTCGTGTGTATCGAGCTTCCTCGTATAGCTTTAGCCTCTCAGGAACATCCGCTGGATCGAGATCCCTTGAGAGCATCACTCCAAGAGACACACCATCCTCAATAGCCATGGCGCCACCGGAAGCGCGATATGGCAAGAAGGGATGAACAGCATCTCCCAGCACCGCTAGACGACCATTGACCCACGTAGGTGGCTTTTGCATGTCAAATAGCGGCCATACTCTGAGAGTCTGGGGATCAGCCTTGGCCAAGATCTTGACCACCTCCGGCTTGAAATCTTTATAAACATCAAGAAGGGCATCCTTGCTGGCTTCCTGGTTCCAATCTGCGCCAGTGTTGGCCTTGCTCAGCGTAGCAGGGTGGATACAGACAAAATTCAAGATCTCATTATTGGCACAGGGGTAGATGACCACGCGTTTTTCATGGGAGTCCCACATGCTGCAGACGCTGTGGATGTCAGCCAGCGGCTTTGTCTCAGGGTCTTCTTGCGCGACTTTTCGCGACAGCAGGAAGCGGAAAGCGCTCTTGCCAGAGCTGTAGGGCTCGATTTTTTCGGTGCCCGGAAGCTTTGTTCTCGCAAGGGAGTGTACACCGTCTGCTCCGAGCACGACGTCACCTTGAAAGACATTGCCGTTCTCGAGAGTGATCGTCGCAGCTTCGGGATCAATCTCAACGACCTTGCTGCTAGTGTGCAGCTCAGCCGGCATTCCGGAGCCAGGACCCTGAGCAACATTTTTCAACCCCTCATGGAGATGGGCCCGGTGCACAAGGGACCATTTCTGTGGACGTTAGACAGCGACAGGCATGAACTGATGAAAACCACTTACGGTTCGCCACCTATCCGCTCGTGCTTTATGATCCACAATCGCCAAGGTCTCGCCCGCAGGATTATAGATGTGCAGCTTTGTAAAGTAAGCTTAAAGTAAGCTTCTGATTACCGAGTTGAATGCACAAGAGGACAAACCTGGTCCACCTCCACGGCCCCAAACTTGGCAGCATCAATTCCTAGACCCAGCAGTGCGGAATTGGCGTTGGGAGTGAGATGGATAGCAGCTCCGATTTCGTTGGCGAAACGAGAGCGCTCAAAGAGCTTCATGGAAGAAGTTAGTCTTCATGAGGTCTTAGGCAATACCGGCTATGAAGTTTGGTATACGCACTTGAACGCGATGACCTTGCTTGCGAAGGGCAATGGCAGCTGCGAGACCACCGATACCAGCGCCGGCGATAAGAATATTTAAGCCTCCTTGTGAGGCGGTCTTTGGATCGATGCTCCCCATGATACTAGTTGTGTGAGATGTGCTACTTTAGCCACAGAAAGTGTCATGAAGTGAGCAGCAGTATAGGCTGTCTGTCTGACAGCCCAGTTCTCCTTATAACCCCTCCATTTCCCATGCTAAGCATCTAGGTTTCCCGCATCCCCTTACGTGGAAAGTCGCATAGTTGGGCAGTCGTCCACCTCTCTGTCCGAGGTTGGATTGTCCGGCAGCGTCGGCTCGCCATTTCGGCTCCACATTCGGAGCGTTGCCGGGAGAGCAGACCATCACCTACCATTGGGGAGAATGCGAAGCTTGTCTGCGGGGACTGCATTCTCCTATTTATCGAACATATCTGCAAGAGCATCTTTCTTGGTTTCTTGCTTTTCAAGAAACAATTGCTGCTGTCCGAGGCTTGCGCACGTCAACATGCCGAACCCAATCCGTGAAGACCTCGCCAAGCGCGATGAGACCTCTTTTCTCTACATCTTCGAACAAAATGTCACCATTTCGTTGAAGGATAAATCTGGACTCGTTCGATGCAACGTTTATCGTCCTAAGGGGCTGGAGAAGGCGCCTGTGCTCGTGACCTACGGTCCCTACGGAAAGGATATCCCCTATGCCGATTTCCACCCCCAATCATTCAGCGAAGTCAACCCCGAACATCGCTCGGAACACTCAGCGTGGGAGACTCCTGATCCCGGCTTCTGGACTCAACATGGATATGCTGTGGTCCGAGCAGACGAGCGGGGTACTGGCCAGTCGCGTGGCAAGCTAGACACCATGTCTCGGGAGACTAGCGAGGCTTTCTTCGACGTGGTCGAGTGGGCTGCTGAGCAGCCATGGTCTACAGGCAAGGTCGGCTTGCTGGGTATTAGCTACTATGCTGGAAGCCAATGGCGAGTCAGCGCCCGCCAGCCCAAGGGCTTGAGCTGCATTATTCCCTGGGAAGGCATGTCCGACTACTACCGCGACCGCTGCCGCCACGGCGGTATTCTTTCCAACAAGTTCATCAAGTTCTGGTGGGATCGACAGGTGGTATCGAATCAATATGGACGCCCTGGTCGGGCCGCGCGCAATTGGGGTCCCGATACCATCGAAGGCGATCTCTCCGAGGAGGAACTGGAGGCCAACCGTCAAGACCAGACGATTGACAACGCCAACAACCATTTCCGCGATGATACATACTATGCCAGCAAGGAGTACACCATGACGGATATTCAGGTTCGTTGATTTGACTCTAGACCTAGAGCTGCAGCTGACAGTCTCTGGATATAGGTACCCCTTCTCTCGGTTGCAAACTGGGGTGGGATCCTCTTGCACCTTCGTGGCAACGTCGAGGGATACACCCAAGCGGGCAGTGAGCTGAAATATCTGCGCTTCATCACAGGCCGTCACGATCTACCCTTCTACTACAAGGAGGAAGTCGAGGTGCAGCGGAGCTTCCTCGATGCTTTTCTGAAGGGCGAAGATCGCGCCGGTTGGGCAGATGGCACTGCTCCCAAGGTCGACGTGGTCCTCCGCAAGGGAGATGTGGGCTTCAACAATGCCGAAGCAGAGAAGCAGTTCCCGCGCCGACAGGAGAACGAGTGGCCGATTGCACGCACGCAGTACACTCGCTACTATCTCACCTCGAAGCAGGAACTGGTCCCGGAGGCCCCTAAGGAAAGGCCGGTCAAGATCACGTACCGCGCTCTGGGCAACCTCGACGAGCCACAGCTGGTGCAGTTCACAACTGCGCCGTTTGAGCAGGAGACGGAAATCACCGGGCACATTGTGGCCCACCTCAACGTGTCGATGAGCCCCGAGCCCGGACGTCCGACGCCCAAGGATATGGATCTCTTCCTCACCCTGCGCCATATCTCGCCGGAGGGCAAGGAGGTGTTCTATACCGGCACTGCAGGCGATCCGGTGCCACTGTGCAAGGGCTGGCAGCGCGTCAGCCTGCGCAAGGTTAACACGGAGCACCCGCGCAACCGGCCATGGTTGCCCCATCGCGACTATTACTCCACGGATGTGCTGCCGGTGGTGCCGGGCGAGGTGTACGCGGTGGAGGTAGAGGTGTGGCCAACCAATGTGGTGGTGGAGAAGGGAGGCAAGATCGGTTTCGAGGTGTCTTCGGGCGACACGCAGGGGTCGGGCCTGTTCCAGCACAATTCCCCGGTTGACCGGTCTGAGGAGAAGTTCCAGGGCTTTAACCACATCAATTTCGGGCATGGTGACAATTACGTGACTTTGCCGATTATTCCGCCGAGAGAGTAGAGATGCAGGGATTGGAGTGTAGCTAGATTGCCGAAGAATGAATGACATAGAGTGTGGACTGTCCTGTATCAGACACCCAACTCCACATCCGACGTGGCCCACAAACAGACCCGAGAGTGTTGATAGTGAATTTCTGTTGAGTTGGAGAAAGCAACCTAGTAGTAGCAGTAGTATTAGTATTAGTTGGAGAGGCTTCAAAGCAGAAATACATATACCCCTCACCAGGCCAGTCAACCGCCTCATTCACGGCCCTATACAATAACCGCAATCGCAACTACCACCATCAGCTCTCACACCAACTTCCAAACCAACTCGCAATCCTAAATCCAACTCCCAAACCATCCACATACCAACATCCTCAACCTCCAACTCAACCAAAACCAAAATGACAACCCCAAACAACCGCCCCCCTCCACCCCCGAAAAACATCCGCCCCCTCAACCGCTACATAACCACGCACTCCCTCACGACCCAGAAAGCCATCTTCTCAACCACCCTCCCAGAAGAAATGCCCCTCCAACAAATCAACGACTCAGCCGACGCGCAGTTCTCGCTCGCCTACACCACCGACTCATTCCCCGTCGACCTGGCTGCGGAGCGCGACATCCCCGCCTACAGCCACTACCTTTCCAACCCGCCGGGCATCACGATCAGCACGGGCACCGTGTGCCGCATCGTCGACATGCCGCCGCACGCCCTGAGCCCCATGCACCGCACCGTGTCGCTCGACTACGGCGTCGTGCTGGAGGGCGAGGTCGAGCTGGTGCTGGACTCCGGCGAGACCCGCCTCCTTAAGCGCGGCGATGTCGCCGTCCAGCGCGGCACTAACCATGCCTGGCGGAATGTTACTCCAGATACTGTGGGCGCTGATGGCGAGGCTGTGCAAAATTGGGCACGGATGTTGTATGTGCTTTCTCCGGCGGTTGGGTTGGGGCTTGGGGAGGATTTGGGCGGGATTGAGGTTAGGGATAGTACTTAGTTTTTTTTGGTGGGGGTGGATAGGGGGAAGAGGGGAAAGGGGGGAGGGAGGTGGTTTGTATGTGAGATTGTGTTGATTGGATAGTTGAATGTGTGAATGAATGGAAGGTATTGTTTTCGAATTGATTGATAGGATTTGGATTTTGAGTGGGGTTGATTGTTGTTACATTCTACGGGGTTGAATACTGTGGATATTGTGATTAGAGAAATATAAGCGGTAGTACTACTTTCTAAGCCAGCTGTATGGACTTCAAAATGTCGAGAGCAAATAGTTATATTATAGACTGAAGTTCTGATTACGAGATAATTTGCTGAACTGGTGGCATTGAACGTGTCTGAAACAAAAAAACATTCATAACTTGATAACTGTCGCATACTCCAACTGAAAGTCAACCCTCACCACTCTCCTCCGATCTCATAGTGGAAGATCTTATCGTTGATCTTTCCTCCTGTCGCGTGCCAAATCCGCGATGCCACCTGGACTCATTAGCTGTGCAGTTATCTTCTTTGTTCATGCGCAGGCATACCGCATTCAACCAACAACCATGTAACATGGTCTGGATAAACACAAACTCGGCTGCATTCGCGCCCGCCGCTCGTTCGCTCAGGTTCTGGCCGCGATTGACCGGACGATACGCGGGCACACGGCGGTGATCGGTAGGCCAGTTGGCGGGCTGCGTGCTGCTGGCTGTCGATTCCGACGACTGTGAAGTGTTGACTTGGCCCGAGTGATGCAGTTCGTAGTCCGATAAGACGGATAAAGTGCCAACCCGCGTGGCGGAGGAGGTTGTAGTGGTTGCTGTGGTAGTCGACATGATGATGATGCGAGTGAAGTGAACTGCTAAGAGTCTTGAACAAGATGAGATACTTGCAGAAGCAACTGGAGTCTGTGAGATATGCGGCACTGACTGTGCAGCATCCAGCCTCGGCGGAATGTGAGTCTCATCCCTCGCCTCCTCCACATCCCGAACATCCATGCCATCCCCCTCAAAAACCTGGGACCATCGCCGGCCGACGTCCTCATAATGAGGCCCATCTACCCGACTGGTCGTTCCTGTCCACATAGATGCAAGCAAAGAACTAGCTTATCTCCGAAGCTGGGGTCAGTTTGTTCCCCGGACTTTACTAGTAGTGGTGTTTTTTGTTGCCCATTGCTATATCCCTACCCGCCCTCGGAATCGATCCTATCGCATCATCTCGTACACCATCCACGAAAATGGTTGCACCACAATACTTCCCGCGGATCATCTCCGCTGAGATTGACGGTCGCACGCAAAATATCAGATATCGTCAGAACCAATTCCACCGCTTACAGTCAGCCCTCGTCCAGCATGTCGACCAGATCAAGGACGCTCTGCTCGCCGACTCCGGCCATGCCCCGGAGGAAGTCCGCGCCGAAATCTGTCTCGCTCTGAAGGAGCTTCGCACACACTATGCGTCGCTGGATCTGACCAAAGACCTTGAGGAAGAGTACCGAGTCGCTCATGGGAAGGATAATCGGGATGGCAAGCGCGGCGCGGGCATCGTTTACATCGTCCCCTGCACGCATACCATGTTCTTCTCCATCGTCTCGGCGTTGAGTGCTGCGCTGGCCGCGGGGAACTGTGTAATTCTCGAGGTCAGTATTACAGTCTTTGAGTGGGAGACAATTGAGCTAATAGACAGCAGTTGACCAAGAACACCATGGTCCTGCCAGCGCTTCTGAAGAAGATCCTCCCGCCCGCGCTGGATGCAGACACATTCGCCATCAGCGAAGAGAGGCCCGACGCGAGTTTCCTGAGTCGAGTGGTCGTGCTGAGCCAGAATGATGCAGGCCCGGTTTCTGGGAAAACTATCTCTTCCCCAAGCACCGCCCACACCATCGCCGTGGTCGACCGCACGGCCGACGTGCCGGCCGCGGCAGAGGCGCTGGTTGCGGCGCGCTTCACCTTCGGGGGTCGCTCGCCGTACTCGCCCGATGTTGTGCTCGTGCAGGAGTTTGTTATGAAGGAGTTTGTCGAAGCAGTGCTGCAGCGCTCGTCGAAGTACCTGGGTGGCCAGAACGGCGAGGCGCGACAGGCCGTCGCTAACCCCCGGCGGACCAGCCCCGGGTCCTCGCTGCTCGACGCGGCGCATAAGGATGCTGGCTCGTGTGTGCTGGTCTCCGGGTCTGAATGGGGGGTTGTGGAGGTGCTTGATCGGTAGGGCTCACACCCGCGGTGGACGACCCACTGCTAACGAACGTTATTCAGGAAATCGCCTCTGCTACAAAGGAAAGTCGCCGAGAAGGTGCTGGTTCTGCACCCGATCACTAGTCTGGACGATGCCATTGACTTTAGTGCTTCGTAAGTTCTAGTGTGCTGGCCCAGAGAGCTGGCCCAGAGAGCGAAGCTAACAGGAGCCAGACGCGGTACCCTGGCTGCGACGTATGCCTTCGCTGCGCCAGCGTCGGCCAAGTATCTTACCCAGTTCATCGACTCCTACATTTCCTGGGTGAATCATGTTCCGACCGATATGCTGAGTATGTTTCTAGCTCCAGTGCGGATTCAGACTCTAACCCTTACTAGTTGGACCGGCCTATCCCATCAACCTCGCTCCCAGCCCTGCTACTCGCTACTCGACGCTCTCTTTGCAGGTGCCTCGACCACAGCTCGTCACTCCAACTGACAACACCACGCTCGCTCAAACCGTCCTCAACACCAAGAACAACAATTGGAACCAGGTGTGGACGGAGAGCCTGGCCCCGTTGCCCGCGATCGGCCAACGAGCCGGCAAAAAGATTGGGTTCTTCGAACAAGGCATCATCACAGGAGGCGTGATCCTGCTCTTCTCCCTTGCCGCCACCGTCTCGACAATGGGGTTTTATGGCTTCTCAGCCGTCAAACGACTTCGTGCATAACTCATGAGAATTAATCTAGTCTCAATATACCACTTTCCTGCCTGTCTTCGCATTCTCTCCCCATCTCTCCCCTCCCCATTTCTCCCCTCCCCCTTTCACTTGCACATATCTACACTTCCCACCCTCCCCCCACCGTAAACTGTGAGTTACACATATTAGTCAACTCCCAGGTCTCAGCCCCCAGCACCCCTTCCGCCCCCTCATCCTCCCAATCCCCCGCCGCCCCGGCCACAAACACCGCCGGCATAAAATGCTCATCGGTAGCATGCGCCTCGCGATAGAGCGGATGCTTCATCAACCGCGCCACGGCCCTCCGCAACCGCGGCCCAGAGTTCTTGGTCAGTGCATCCTCCACGGCAGTTCGAAACTCCAGCGCCCAGACCTCAGGCGGCGTCTCCATGGCCAGTGTATCCCGGTTCCCCCGGAGCATGGGGCCCCAGCGGTTCCGGTACAGGTTGTGCACCGCCCCGCCCGTGCCGATCAGCAGGTAGTTCTCGGCGCGCAGCGGGCGCAGCGCGATCCCGATCTGCAGGTGGAAGTATGGGTTGAAGTGGGCGTTGGTCGACAGGACCGTCACTGGAGGAGCGCGGGTGGTTGTGCTTGGGAACATGTTTAGTAGGATCTGGTAGGTGTCGTGGATCCAGTTGTAGGTTGGGTCGGCGTGGACGTTGACCCCGTTTGCGCGGAGGAGTGAGCTACACCGTGTGGCGGTTGCGAGATCTGGGGTTAGTCTTTGGGTTTCTGGATCTGGATCTGTTGTGGGTATGGGGGCGAATGGGATGGGGACGATTTGGGGGGACGGGTTGGTGGCGATTGAGATTGTGTTGGCCGTATGGTTGGTCCAGTGTGCGCTCTGGTTCATGGTTAGTTTATGATGGTACTATAATGGATTGATTGGGAGTGGGCTGTATAGTGAGCGTGTGAGTATAGGTTGGGATTAGGGGGGCTAGTGTTGTTTCGGTTTAGGCTTGGGATGGGGCCCCGGGGTGAGGGAGCGCGCAGTCAAAGTTGAATAGGTGCCTACTACCATTATGATAATCCCTTTAACGCCGTTCGCCAGTGCCTCCTCTCCGCATCGTCGCCAATACTCGGATGACTCGGTGGTCTGCGTAAGCATCATTGGTGAGCCATGGCTAAAGAAGTGTGTCGGGGCCTTCGGAGCTATGAGAGCTAGCTGTTAGCCTCGGAATTGTGTGGGGTGTCAGAAGCATCAGTGCTAGTAGTCTCTTACACATCCTGGTAAGACTGCTTTCTTGTGCACTAGATGTGGTGGTGTCAGCGTTGTGGTGAATTGCTACTGAGTCGTGAGAGTGTGCGATACACCGCCAGGCTGCCGTCGGGAGTCTCCCCCACATCCCGAGGCCAGTGTCCAAGAGCACGCAAGGGTCACTGGTCAGCCGGCACCGGTCAATGCTTTCGGTTAAAGATGCCGGGAATCTTCGCTCATATGCCTGTCTTTCAAGTTCAGTTCTTGCGTTGCTGATGTCGGCTGGTTTCGGGTTGAATGGTTTGCTATGCTTGTTGATCAGGCAGGGGGAAGTGAGAACTTGATTACCGCTGAGTTGTCAGTCAAGAAGATGATAACTTGCAGATTAGTATACATATATTGCGCTAGTCCGAGTGTTGCTCAAGTATCTAATGAAATGGCTGGATGTAATAGTCACTGGAGTACGTAGGCTTTGTCAGACAGTCAGTTAGTGATACCAGTTACTTAACACTGTAAGAGTGGGGTTCCCCGCAAATTCCTTCCCCACATCCTTAGCAGCTTTCCATTCATTTTCCCTCTCGCTTCTTTCTCATCCCCCAACCCCATCCTTTCCTCTACTCAAAGCTCCTCCACGGCCATGTTAAACCCTCATCACCATGTTGGATGAACCTCCTCCTACTGCTGCTCCTACTGCCTCCTCCATTTCCAGACAGTCACCCTCGCGCTCAGTGTCGAAAGCCCGCGATGGCTATTTTCAATGCGGTTTCTGCAAGAAACACTACAACCGCGCCGACCACTTGATCCGCCATGTTCGATCGCGTAAGCTATCAGCTCCTAATTTGAATTGTGGCTTACAGATACTAATTTCGGCAGATACCCGAGAAAAGCCCTATGTGTGCCATGTCTGCAACAAAGGCTTCGCCAGACCGTATGGCGACCTCTCTACCTTGAACTCACACTGTGGACACTGACTCTAACCAGAGACCTCATGAAACGTCACGCCGCAGGCCATGATCATCCTCGGGATGGCAAGAGGAAGCGGCCGCCGATCTTCGCCAAGAGTGGCCGTGTCTCCCAAGCCTGCCGGGCATGTGCCACGTCCAAGCTCAAATGCGACGAGCAGAAGCCCTGCCGCCGGTGTCGAGACAAGAAGTTGGATTGCGATTGGCAAGAGACAAACCCGGGCGAGATGTCTCCCGAATCATCTTCGCAAGGTTTGTCTTTGCTCTGCTATGCACTGGATCTGCACCAGTCGAGCGCCCAGACTGAACTGCCATCAGCGTACGATGAGCCCGACGAAACTGAAGCATACCTCGAAACCCCGCAGACACAAGGCATCCTCCCCTCTCCAGCCCCCATGATGGGCGAAATACCGCCGCTGCCCATGGACCCTCCCACGCACTTCGCCACGCCGGACTTCCCAGTGGGCAATTTCCTGCCTCAGGCACCAGATCCGGCTCCGCCGCTGGAGGATCCGCTATCGGCCGGCTACGATGGTATTGTTGACCCGCCTCGCTTAACAGGTGTCGGCTGACGGGCTGCGTGCTAGCAATTTCCCCGAGTTTGGATCACGAAAGTGGTATCTTTAGCATTGACGGCACTTTCTTCCCCGAGTTCATACCGGACTCCCTGATCACCTCTCTATCACGCCCGGATCTGGAGCCGCTACTGAACCACGCTCAAGAATACGCCTACGGGGTCTTCGACCAAAACATACCATCCAACTTCGATCTCACCGAGATTGATTTCGGGCTTATCGAGTACTTCAACTCTCAAGGCATCACACATCATGCGCCACCCGCGGTAGAGGCACCAAATGACCGGTCGGACGTGGACAGTGGTATTGCCTTGGGGGCAGAAGCCTATAAGCGCTCCTCACTGTCCGCTTGGAAGCCAGCGCAGAGCGATAATGCATTCGCCCATCAAGGTGATCTAGCAGTTCCGGGGACCATCGACAGCCCCGATGCCGATATCCGGTCCGAGCGCAAGATTCTTTCAGAGCGATTATCGGCTGGAAGTCGCGATTTGATCTTTGGGATGGTGTTACAAACCAGTCAGAAAGCCAACCCGCTACGGATCATGAAGTCGTTCCCGAGTACCGAGCTTCTAGACGGATTGATACAGGACTACTTCGCCTACCAAAGTCGGCAAGTCGATTCCTTCATACACGGTCCGACGTTCCGTATCAATGAGCAGAGCTCCGATACGCTTACCGCCATCGCTGCAGCCGAAGCAACGAGGTCCACCATTCCAACTATCCGAAAATTGGGCTACGCACTGCTTGAGATTGTACGCCTGCAGATCTCAGACAAGGTATACTCTTCTCATAGGTGAATGGCATGTTGTCCGTGAATGAGTGCTGATTCCTTCAGTATGAAACTGATAACCGGACGACGCGTGACCTGCGAGCTTCTCAGACATTTGCTTTGGTCTTAGATATTGGGCTATGGAGTGGAAATGGTCGGAGAACAGAGATCGCAGAGAGTTTTCAGCAGCCCCTACTAACGGTTCGTCGTCAATCATTGCGGTGCTGGTCACAACTGACATCTTTCAGATGCTCCGGAGAGCCTTGCGATTTCGGCGATCTGTCTACACAACAATTTTTCCGACTCTTGATGACGCCCCGGAGGTGCTAGAACAAAAGTGGCGGGATTGGGCGGAGTTGGAATCTTTCAAGCGGTAAGTTTTTCAAATGCCTTATCCAGACACCGCTGACACGTTCAGACTTGTACATCATCTTTTTCTGCATGATGCTCAGGCCGCACTGATGCTGAATGTCAATTCCCTCGTCTCGTACGCGGAGCTGGAACTCCCGTTACCTTCCATTCGATCACTGTGGGAGGCGAAGTCGTCAACGGAGTGGAGGGATGTTTATCTGGCTACCGGGATGACTGGTCGAGAGCGACTGCCATCATTGATTGATGCCATGCGAGACATGTCCCGGCTGCAGACACGCGTTGACTCCCAACTGGCGGGGTTCGTTGTTTTGCACGGCCTAGCCGCGATGGTCAGTGAGTATCACCGCTTCAGTTTCATCTCCAAGGGCAGCTCAAAGCACTGGAACGGGCTGGTCATCAGCTCCCGACATCAAGAGCTATCACAGGCCCTGCAACACTTCCGGATGGTCTGCTACGAATGGCCCGAGTTCCCCGGGCCCGAAGTGTTCCTAGTCTACGAAATGATCTCCATGTTCCTGTACATGTCCCTCGAAGAGCTCCAACTCTTCGCAGGCAAGGAAGACAAGCGCGAAGCTCGCCGCGTCTACCACAGCGCCCTCGAATGGATCGAGAGCATCGACTCCCGGCGCGCCGTGTGGCACGCCGGCCAAGTCATCCGCGCCGCCAAAGCCATGGCCCCCGGCTCTCTGACCGGCTTCCTGGCCGTGGGCGTATACTACGCCAGCCTAGCCTTCTGGTCGTACAGCGTCGTCTCCAAAGCCAAGACCGCAAAATCGGCGACGCAGCCCGGTCGACCGCTCGGGTTCACCCCGCGCAACACGACCCAATTGCCCACCACGTTTCTCGACGGCGAGGAAACGACGGATGTGCAGAAGTTTATCTCTCTGGGATGCGGATCCCCCGCCCTGCAGGGGTCGCAGGGCCCCGCCTTTGTGTCGGACCCCCGGCAGACGATGGAGGTGGCGCAGGGGCTTCTGCGGGCGGACGCCTCGAATGACTCGCTTCCTCCGCTCGTCCAGGGGCTTTGTCAGTTGATGGGGGATTTGGGCAAGGCGGCTAAGTCGACTTGACCGGGTGTAGTTAATGATCTGTATGCACTACTGTATGATATGGATGGATGGGAACATACTGGGGAGAAATGAAGCACTATAATGAAACACTCCAAAATCCATTCTTTCCCTCTACCCGTCGGATTTGCGTCCGCACCACGTACCTACCAGCGCATTGTCTCAGTAGGAGCAGTCAAAGAATTCCATATTCAATTGATTAGAATCGCTAGAGGGGTAGTAGTTCACCAATACAAAACAAACAGACATCGACCACCACAAGTCATACCCACAAACGGCCAGACCGCACTCGAAAGAGGAATGAATTAGTGCTGGCAGCGCGACGAGGACCCCAACACCAACAACACCAATGCAAAAAGGCCACAAATTGGGTCAGAAGTACAAACCTCATTTACGTACGTAACTGATCGGTACACGTCACATAACATCGCGAATCGCTCTAAGAGATAAGCATAGGGTATAAGGCTCGCACGGAAAAGAATCTGGATAGAAGTCGACTGAGGTTTGGTAGGATGCAATGCAGGGAAATAAGAGAAACAGCCCTCGCTAGGGAGCGGGATGGGAATCGGACTCGGGTTTGCGAGCGTAGACGACCGATACGGGGAGGTAGGCGTGGGTTCCATAGTCGCGTAAGGACTGGCGCATTTGGGCGAGGAATATTTGCGCTCGCTCGTAGGACCAGCCGAGTGTGGTGGTGAGGAGACGGAGCATGAATCCTTCGACTCCACCGTGGAGGCGGAGTTGGTTCCAACGACCCTGGCTAGATGTAAGCGATTTTCTTTCCGGCCGATAAATGCTTGTACTGCTCACGAGTTCGTGTAGCTTTGCATCGGGACTCCAGCTTGAAAAATTGTCAGCGCAAGAGTCTATTCTGAAAGAAAGCAGGCAGACATACGCATTCATGGGCCATTGGAAACGATTCTCCACCACACTAACAAAGCCCGCCTGCCTTAGTCGCGTCGCGCTCTCAGCCCAGATGTTGAACGTCTTCCCTGACGCATTGCCCGAATCGAGGACTGTCTGGCCCCAGATGCGGTAGAAATGGCCCTCGGGCACGGTATCGTCGTCTGCGACCGGTTCGACCGAGTGCTCAACGACCTCGATATATCCACCAGGTTTCAGGCAACGCCAGCATTGCTGGAGGAATTCGTCCCAGTCAGGAATGCATCCAAATAATTCGCGAACGTGAATGAAGTCAAACTGATTTGACTCGTAGGTCCAGGGAAGGGTCACATCATCAATCTCGAAGACACAATTCGGCGGGACGAATAGCGGCTGGATTGGGGAGAGATCCACCCCGGTGACTTTGGCACTAGGGTATTCATCTGCCATGTCTCTGTCAAAGTGAGCTCGTCGTCAGCTACTGCATCCCAGGAAACTGCTGGTTTACGAATCGGTCGCATAACGCACACTGCCCAAATGCCGGTTCCGGTTCCCACGTCGAGGATTTCCTGCGCAGGGGATCGATCAGATTGGTGTTCTGCTGCACGGACACAAGAAAAAGTAACTTAGGTATCGACGGACAGTACCTGCGGATTGCGGATGGGAGCCAAGTGGAGCTTCTCATCGAGGGTCAGAAAGTACATATGGTGAGCCAAGTCTTGTTGTTCATTCGCAATGTCATCGTTCGGACCCTGTCACGCAGCCCAGCAATCGGTCAGCCAGTCCGATGGGGACGCAATCGCTTGGAAGTCCGACCAACCTACCCAGTATGCGCCATCGCGGAAGGAGTGGTACCGCCGACCGTATTCGTATCGGTGGTCCGTGATATAGGTGGACAGAGTGACTGTGTCATCCCCAATCAGGGAATCCTCACCATAGGCCGAGTCGCCGTCTTCCATTTCTTCGTCGGTCGCATGGCCGGACATATCAGAGGAAGGATTGTGGCGTTGGGTCTCATCAGTCAAAAAAGGATGCGATGGCGCACGACCATCGTCCTCACATGGGGGCGCGGTCATGGCGGCGATCGGGGAGGAGCCCAGCAGATCGGATTGCGGAGATCGACTCCGTCCGGGGGTGGTCCACGAATAGTTGAATTGCTTTGCAGATGGTTGGAGCCGGTGATCACACAAGAAAAATTTCAATCGAGAGAATGGAATGCCAACCAACGCGGATAACGCAGAGGACAAGTTTCGAGTCAGCGAGGGAGGGGATGCTTGCGCGATTGACGGGAATGGTGGGAGTGACGCAGCGAATGGGTTCTTCCTTGGGTCTGCTGGGGGTTAGAAAGGATCGAGGAGAGGAAAGAGGAGAAAGCGGCGTGAGATCAGGAACAACGGATCATCGATTTCTGCCACCATTGCTTCCCCACTAGAGGAAGGTAAGAGTTCAATTCGTCGATTAGATTCGGGTTTGAGGAAAGAGAGAATTAAGTAGAGATGGGGAAAGAAAGAAAGCAGCAGCGTAGCTTGTGCCGGTCATACTGAACTTAGTAAGGAAGGAAGCAACCACAAGAGTGGATGAACGCCTGATGCTTAAGGCCCTCTATAAATCACATGATATGAAAGAGGGGGCTCGGTAAGTCCACATCCCAGTCAACCATTGGTGGTTGAGCATGTTTAAGTTTCGAAAGAGTCAATCAGGAAGGTGGTTGTCTTTGGAAGGCACAGTCACGGACTGGACCTGAAGGAAGACGGAGGAGACTCTCTCCAGACACTCTACTCCTACTATTCCAACTTCTTCTCCTCTCCTCTCCTCTCTTCTTCTGGCCGTTTGACACCACCTCCCTCCCTCCCTCCCTCACACCACACCCTCCAAGAAACAACTCATCCCTTCATGCTTCTGCCGTGACAAGGATGTCCCCAATTATCAGTATCAACCTAACTTTATATCCCTGGAGAACTTCACCACCCCCCGAAGCAGGCTAGTGGCTCCGATTAGTGGATGTTAGCGTTGACTAGCCTGAAGAATTGCCAACTTGCCCAGAACCGACCATTCCCGACCGGGTTGCGATTCCCACTTGCCCACTTGCCCACCGCACCATTGACTCGGGTCAGCCTGATTGACCGATCATCAATGATTCACAGTCCACACCCCTCCCCCCCTGCTCGCCGGACTTGCTTTCTTCACCCGCACTGCCATGCCAGCCCGGCACATGGGTCTTGGATTCGCCCTAAAACGTCTCCATCCTGAACCCACTATTTGTTCCAGCCGGTTGGTCGACTCCTTCTGAAGACTTCGAGTTTGATTTCACCCGTTTCCTACGTTTCACTATGAGCTTAACCGCCCCGATGATAGTCGATGGCAGCCTGCCGTCAATTGACTGCACTACACTTTATGGCCTGCATCTGCAGCCCATCCCGTGTCATCCCGATTCCTGGTGCATCGTCTGATGGTGCAATGAGAAATGCGGGGGTGAGTCCGAGTGCCAGACACTCGAGCATCGGCAAAAGCATGGCAGCCCGCAGCGATGACGTTCCCGCTTATCAGTGGCCCAAAGAGAGGACGAGAGGATGAGATTAATTCCTGAACCATGAATCAGCTGGACGCTTTGACGCTCGTATTGGGGCCGCTGTTGCCTCTCTCACGACGGAGATTCCGTCAGAGTCGTTCCGTGCCATGGCCCTTCCTAGCTGTATTCAGTAATCTGATGGAAGGCATACCTTAGCTGGATAATATATCCTCCCTCTATCAGGAAAAGAGTCTTTCCTGTTCTCCACCAGAAACGGGAACCGCGGCCTCCCATGGCTGACGAATGGCTGCTGCACCAAGAAATTAACTGCTGCAATAACAGCTCGACGATGCCCTTCTTCTTCGATCGCTTCTCGAACTTTATTTACCCATCATAGAATTAGCAGTTGGTGCCTTTCGCTGCTCTTTTCCTTTCCCGCTGTCCTACGTGGTCACAGTACCTGATATCAGTCGACTTGAGCATGGGCATAGTGCAATGGCTCTGGGCCCTTCTAGGGGCTAAGCCGAGAGAGGTGACCGCACCTGAGCGAAAGCTCAATGCGACGGTTCTGATTGTCGGTGCAGGTAGGACTCCCTAGACTGCACGACTAGAAACCGCCACGCGACATTCGTTCCGGTCAAACTGCCAACAAAGGCTGATTTGCACACCCTAGGATCGACTGGACTTGCTCTGGCCCAAGGATTGAAACAGGTAGCAATCCTCAATCCCCCCCCCCCCCATGTCTCACATACCCGGCCGAGTCAGGCTGATGCTGAATTCGGTTCCAGGCCGGTATCTCTTGCGTCGTGTTAGAGAAGCACACTTGCATTGGTGCCCACACCCGCGACTGGAATATGGGTTTGCATTGGGGAGCAGAGTCGTTGAGAAGCCTCATCCCAGACGAACTGTGGAAGCGGATTCAGTCCGTCCAGGTTGACCCTAGCATTTCCCCGACTGAGAGTGACGCACTCAACTTTATCCACGGTTCGACCGGGGAAATTATGGCTTCTATTCCTGCTCCTATGTTCAACCGTCTACGTCGCCGTAAACTACGAGAATTGTTGGCAACAGGCCTGGACTTACGATACGACAAGCGTCTCCAAGCAGTCGACTTCTCCGAGGATGGTCAAGATGTCACCGCACGACTAGCGGACGGATCATGCCTTACTACAAAGATCATCATAGGAGCTGATGGAGCCCGATCAACCGTCCGTCAATTGCTGCTTCCTGAAACAGGACAAATCCGCCAGCTGCCCTACTGTGCGACCTTTGTACAAGCACGATTTAGCGCGGAGCAGGCTCGCTTTTTGCGACAATTCCATCCCTTGTATCTGGCTGGAATCAACCCAGCCGGACTTTTTGCCTTCTTTGGGATGCATGATGTAGAGAATCCCGGCCGGCCTGAAACCTGGACATTCTTTTTCTATATATCGTGGCACTCGGATTATCAGGAACAAGAGAGGACAGCAGGATGGTCCAACGCTCAAAGATTGAAACAGGTCAAAGAGTATGCGAAGAATTTCGCTAATCCCTGGAAGAGCGCTTTCAAGTGGTTGGACGATGACCACGAAGTATGGTACATGGGATTAACGGATTTCGACCCGGGCGCCGAAGACCATCATTGGGACAATCAAGGTGGACGGGTAACACTTGCTGGCGATGCTGCACATGCCATGACATATCAACGTGGCCAAGGCCTGAATCATTCTATCACAGATGCGGCTAAGCTGGTGGAAGCGATTCGACGATTTGTATCAGGAGAAGAGCTTCAATCCACCGCGGTTTCCGAATACGAGGAAGAGATGATCGCTCGAGCTAGCGATGAAGTCAGGTTGTCCACCGTCAATACAGAAATGGTTCACAATTGGCAGCAAGTTAAGCAGTCGCCAGTGTTGGCTTCGGGAATGAAGAAACATTCATCCGACGCTCTACTCTAAGCATGCATATTGTGCTACCTGTTATGCAAATTCTCGCAGTGGTTGATATAAGTTCTTTCAATGTCCTTCTGTTGCAATATTCTTAATCTGCGAGCCTGCCACTTTCCTTGTCAGGTGTGACTCTTTACAACTCGCTAGACGGCCTGCCTTGGTACCTCGGAATGATTTAGCAAGACGGATTTTCTTCACATGCGCAGAGAATCAATGCATTCTTGACTGGGGATCGGGGGCCTTTGTTGAATTGATTCAGTTTACATCAGCCTTCGGCAGCGGTGCGGTGAGGACCTGGAAATGTGCAGCGCAGACTAATGCAGACCCCGGTCACTGTACTCTTCTGTCCTTTACATCTTCCACACCGAAACCACCTCTCAATGCTCGCGCATTAGTGCCTGTGGCGTCCGTTCCCATGCCTCAATCAAACTTTCGTGCATGAAATCAGGTAGACGAGTCGCGCCAGGAAAGAGAAATTGACAACAACAATTTCAAGGATTAAGATCCACAGTGCGTAAAAGCATGGGTACGAAGACAGATTTCTAACCAACTTCTCGAGCAGATTCCTCCAAGCTGGTATCCGAGAACCTCTGTCATCGATTCCAGCCCACGGCAAAACATTACAAAGTATTGGATATGCAGCTCGCGCGATTTCTGTCTTCGACGACTCGAATTCGCAACCTAGTCGAGGACAAGACTAGTTACCCAAAGCTAACCTTGCATTTATTCCATGGCAAACACAAGCTCACCGTTTATCTTTTGGTACTGTGTCATCATGCAGTGCGCGGTATGCTCCGTCTATCAAATCTGTATTAAGGGTCTTAAGTCGCTCTCACGCTTTAATACACTTGACAATTCCGAGAGACCGCAAACATGACCATTGACTGGCTGATTGTATGAACGGTAGAGCATCATAAAGGGACGCAGTCTTCTCAAGACTCAGCCACATTTCTTGCTCGGCGTTATCTATTCTGTACGCTATGCGTACAAATGTCCGCCCCTCTGTAGCAGGAACGAACATAACCCCGGCGGGTAATGAACAACCTGTTGCATTCATTTCGAGACTCAATTTTTTCAGAGCAATCTTGAGTCCTTCCTCCAGGATGTCCGCAACCACCGCCGAGTTTGCGAACCCCTCTACATGCTGCCACAATCGCAGAAGAACTATTGCCTTCGCTCGGACAGAAAAGCTGGAGGTTCTTGTTGCTGCATTGTACAGTGCTGGAACGATAGGACTATCCAGAGTGATGATTGGGTGGTTTCGAAGCTTCTTGATCGTAAATTCGGCTAAAGAAACCAAATCTTCGCTTTCCTTGGTAAGCTCCGGGGGCAGCTGTGAGCTTCGGCTCAGAAGACAGGTCTTCAGCGCAAATCTGAAGGCAAAGCTGTTTAGTCTGGTCATGTCTGTCTCGCGCTGTACTTTCTCGCTCATCCGGTCGTATGACTGGGACGACAACCAGTCTAATTGACACAAATATCGGTTGATGGACGACAGAAGGCACAGTTGTTTCTGCTGTAACGTTGAATATTCAGCCAAAATCTCGTCTTCTGACAGTTTCCAGCATCTCGCCGCGAAAGGCCATCCGGCATTGAACACTGGGTCGCAAATTCGTCTTGCATCTTGTAATCGCTGAAAGGTTCCCAAGTATTCCTCATACGGCATCCCAAATATCAGCTCGCTATCAACATCCAGGTGTACACCAGTCCCGTAAAAGACGGATTGCGCCTGGAGTTGCAAAAAGGTTTCTACTATGCATGGATCCACGGGTGAAATAAAGTCGCCCGAGATTTGCTTTCGTATGTTCAGCTGCTGGAGAACTTTCAGACCGCCTATAACATGTGCAACCGCGTTATCATAATTACCGCAGAGCATCTCGCAGGCAATGAACAAAAGACAACAGACCAAGACCACCTCCTGAAATTGAGGATCCTGCGAGGAATGCCGCTTGTTGAGTAGGGCAATCGAGCGTCCAGCCTGTTCCAGTCCATACCAGTACCAGATGCTATGCAGCTTCTGTCCGGGTCGCAGAACCTTGTTCTTGTCTTGAGCATTGTTGATAGCCCCAAGCGCGATCGCAGCATGATATACAGCCGGTTCAGTGTAACTCAACCGGAGGATAAGACGCTGCCAGAGCGACGAATCATAGAACCCAGTCATGTCCTGCACGGATTGATGCTGGAAGAAAGAGAAACATCGACCCTCGTCCGGGGTCACGGCCCACTGCAGTCTAGATGCTACCTGGGTGAGCACTGGGTGTGGGACAATCACACTCCGTTTGGATCGTTTGACTTGAGGGCCGCACGCTCGGGGAAGCCGGTGTGCCTCATATCCTTCACAGGTGCGACCGGTAGAGGTGCAGTTTCGACAGGCATCAGGCGCTTCGTCGCATTTGATGCGACGCAACCTGCCGAGCGGCGTTAGTGTGGGCAGATCGTGGTTGGGTCATGTATACTAACCGGCAGGTGCGACATCCGGTTGAAGATCTTTGTCTAAAAGCCTTGCGTTTTGAAAGCAGCATGGTGGTACAGCAGGACTACGCAGCTGTTCGATGAGTTTGCGCTTGAATTTATATCAGGAGAGTCGGAAATTAGGCGTCTCTTGGCCAAGTGTCCGGATGACCAATGGTTCACATTTGCCCCCATGTCTCGCCCGCTCCAAGACTGAAGCTTTACCTGAAGCGGTCCGAGCCTATCTGATCGTCAATTCTTCACATCTCCTGCACCTCCACCGCAGAGATCTCGAGCACCTCGAGGTTCATTGTTTATAACATGTTTCCTGCCGGCAAAATTCGCATGCCCCATGAACTTATCCCTATCGATCAAGCGGAGTTCGAGCGGAGTTCGAGCGACTATACACGACTTGCACGACGGCAGTGTGCGGCAGTCTGGCCGCCACAAGAGTCAGGCTAGCGGTGGCTAGTTGGATGGCAATATTAAAACCCATTGCAAGTTTGCAACCCCGCTCGGGTTATCTGAGTACCGGTTCACGCTAAGGAACGCTAAGGGCTCGTCTACCGGATAAGGCGAATTTTCTTCACCAATTTCTATTTCTGGCATATGGTCTTGGAGATTGGCCTTATCATCACATGATTATGTACTATGGTACATTCTTCAACCCTCTCCTATCTCGAAAGTCGTTATTTGAGGTTCGACATCACGTTGAATGTGATTCTCAGTCAAAAAGACAAAAAAAGACTAGTCAGTCTATTCAGCTTGCCCCAGGGGAGGTGTGAGCTGCGACAGGGAAACGACTTATACACTTGGAAAACCAGTGGATTGAGCTTCAACCAATTGGGCTTCAAGCAAGGCCATGAGTGATTGAATCATACGACCTGAAGCTCCCGTAAGTTCATTGTCTCCTCCTCAGCTCTCTGAAGGTAGTCTTTCTTCAGCAACATGCCCAGCACCGGTGTGTAATCGAAAATCAGGTCCCGCACTTTTGCCAGAGGCCAGGGCAGGCGGTGGAACATGGAACCTGAGAAGCGAGCAAACTCCATATGGTGGTTGGCGTAATCGACGCGCTGCTGCTCATACAGCTCGAAGCCTGCGGCGACGGCTCGCTGATCGCGCAGGTCCACGCCGTCGAGCGCGCGGGCGAGGTAGTAGCCATCCTCGATCGCCATGCCCATTCCATAGGCGGCATAAGGCGAGACCGGGTGCACCGCATCGCCCACGCCGACCACCCTCCCGGTGGACCATTTCTGCAAAGATGGCCGGTTGTATACCTCCCACCGGTAGACCTGAGATGAGAAGTCGGTGGAATCGAGAAGCCGCGGCATCGGCTGTGCCCAGTCCTTCAGGACGGTCGTCAGGTGCGCTTTGGGATCTGCAGGCACCGGCTTGTCCTCCCCCGACGGCTCGACCACCCACCATTCAAACCCGGGCCTGTTGCCTTCTCGCAGCATGGGGAAAAAGCTGGCTTGGTATTGCCAGTCATGAGAAATCACCCCGTGGTGTGCTGGGACGTCCGGGATCTGATCGCACCACGCCAGCCAGACCCGGATCCCGGTATGAATGAGCCCAGGATCGCCAAACGCCTGGCGCGACACGGCGGAACGAATGCCGTCCGCCGCCACCAGGATGTCCGCCATCATAGTGCGGCCATTATTAAACTTTACTTGCACACTGCTGTTGTTCTCGTCGTCGCTGTCCCACCGTTCCTCATACCCGGTTACCTCGTGATCGGTGTAGATGACCCCTTCCGGCACCAGGCTGAGCATTTTCCCAAAGATCGTTGACCGCAGCACTCCATAATGCCAGCCCTTGATTCCCATCCGTCGCTCGACCTCGGCGTTGAAGGGTAGCTGGACGCGCTCCTTGCCCCATTTGTTGGCAAAAGTCGTCCGTGTGTATGACCCGACGTTGTCCATATTCAGTCCGTAGGCGCGGAGGATAGCGAGCACAGGGATTGACAACAGCACCGCACCTCCGATCGCCTCGCACGTCGGTTGCCGCTCGAAGATACGCACATCATACCCTCGTTTCATGAAAGCGAGGCCTGTGGAGATCGCTCCGGGGCCTCCTCCGGCGATAGCGACTCGCTTTCCTGGGCGCCAGTTTTGGGACATTTTGACCAGAGCAATGGATCGAAGTGGATAGAGGAGAAGAACAAGTCACTTAAATGACAGGCATTAGGGTCTACTCGGCCTTTAAATCATTGAAAATCCTTGTCGTTTCCACTGGGGGATGCCATCTATAGATTACTCAGCGGGGGTTTCGGCGAGCGCCAAGAGATCAGCAGGGACTCGGGCTTTGAGGGTTTTCCAGCCTCCGTCGGATACACAGAATGAGAATTATTGAGGCTCTCGCGAAGCGAACGGCCATGCAGGATAATTAATCTCAATCAAGGCATACCTAGCGTAGGTCGTTTTGCATTGTGCCGGGGTGGGGTGGAATTCTCGCTTCGAGGTGTTGATTCGTGGCATTGCCTACTTCAGTCTCTCCTCGATATACTAAACTATCAAGTCCGACCCTACCAGGCATATCAGTTTCATGCAGCCCCGCTCAGATTGTTTGGATCCCTGTAAGCCACTAACCTAGCGCCTAATCTCGTAATGGGACTCTCTAGGTGTGATCAGCCCACCAGGGCTCTCATCCTTCGATAAAGCCTGGCAGATCCGGGCTGGTGTCCTCGTCCGCGCGAATTCTCTCATGAGCTCGCCCACCCCCACTTCCCGGCCATTACAGAATCAATTCATAATTCGAGCAGATCTAAATCCTGCGTGTCGGGGCTCTGGACCTGGCCAGGAAAGTAGAAAGCAGGATAGGTATGCTGCGTATCTTCTATATATCACGCTGCACAGTCTAACTATCTAAGCAGCCAGGGGCATCATACTTACCCTGCTCGCTATTCCCTCACCGCAGCCCTAACTCTATATACCTTCCCCGGGATCATGATGAACATGACCACGGTATATATCATTCATCATTGTACTGTACCAGTCTAGAAGTCCATGCCCATACCAAGAACCCAAATAATTACCCCACGTACAAACTAAACGGTAGACGCTACCTGGGAGCCGCGGAGTATAGCAGCCTCGTAATTTATTGTACTGTGAAGAGACGATCTTTGTCCCTGCACTATGAACAGATGCCTCGAGAAACAGTCGTCATGGTGTGATGGCTGGAATACTGGAACATAATGTCAAAGTGGTGAAGAGATTACATCAATTGGGGCTGTGGTTTAGTGGTATAATATTCCCTTAGCATGGGAGAGGTCCGGGGTTCGATTCCCCGCAGCTCCATTTTTATCCGTTCCTCCCATTTTTTTGATGGGAGCCGGAGGTGCTTGGCGGTTGTCGTCTCTTTTTTTTTTTTTTTTTTTGTTTTTGGTAGTGGAGTGAGATTGGTGCTTGTGGTTGATTCAAGATCGAGGGGGATGGTGCATAGCATGTAAGTGCACGTTAAGAGTCGGCAGGGGGCCTGATATGACATGAGATACCATTACCAAAATACCCTGGCGCGAGACGAAGGAGCCAATGAATACAGGCACAGTAGGTCTGTGCTAGTCTAGTATAGAAGCTTAGGCGGATTTTGGGGGATATCTAAAGGCGAGAATAGTGGCCCTGTATACTCTATAAGATGGATTGAAATCATACTCTCCTACGAGTATCTCGCTACCATCATTGTCTCCATGGCACCTGGACGCGCGGCAACGCCGCCAAATTCGATCTCTGGGCCCGCCTCGTCGACGACGACAGCTGGAGCTACAAGAACCTCCTCCCGTATCTCCTGCGCTCTGAGTCCCACTGGGACGCCCACGCTGACCCCGCCGTGCACGGCCGCTCCGGCCCCATCCACAACGCCTCCGTCTCCTCCAGCAGCCCCGACCGCAAATACCCGCTCCGTGACCCCCTGCGCGCCGCGTGGTCACGCCTGGGCGTCACTCCCATCGCCGACGGCAACGCCGGCCACCCGCTTGGTCTGGCGGAACTAACGGAGAACTGGCGCAACGGACAGCGCCAGATCGCCAGCGAGGCGTACGGGGTGAACCAGCGGTCGAACATCACCGTCCGCACGGAGACTCTGGTGAAGCGGGTGTTGCTTGCCGAGAAGGAGAGCGGTAGCAGCAACAGCAATAGGAAGACGGCCGTGGGCGTCGAGCTGTCTGACGGGACCACGTTCCACGCCTCGCGCGAGGTGATCGTGTCCGCCGGCGGCTATCGCACGCCGCAAGTGCTGATGCTGTCTGGGATCGGGCCGCGCGACGAGCTCGCGAAGCATGATATCGCCGTGCAGGTCGAGGCGCCGGAGGTAGGCCGCAACTTCCACGACCACTTCGCGTTCAACCAGTGGTGGAAGCTGCGACACCCGGAGCAGGGCCTGTCGGCGGGCACGCCGCTGTGGCAGATTCCCGCCTACGGCCGCGGGCTGCCCTGCGACTGGGTGGCGACGGTACAGACGCCGCGCGACGAGATGGCGCGTGCCCTGCGCGCCGACGGCGTGCCCGACCCCGACCTCCCCGCCCACCCCTACCTGGCGCCGGACTTCTGTCACGTCGAGACCCTGGTCGTGTACGCGCCCGCCGGCGCCCTCGCCTCCGGCGTCGATATCCCCATGGACGGCACCCATATCGCCTCCGCCGTCCTCGGCATCGCCCTCACCTCCCGTGGCGCCAACATCCTCGCCTCCCCTGACCCCGCCGTGACCCCGCGCATCGACCCCAATTACTACGCCACCGAGGTGGACCGCACCGCCCTCCGCGCCGGCATCCGCCAGGTCACCCGCTTGCTCCGCGAGACGCCCGAGGGCCGTGGCATCGTCGCCGAGGAGGTCCCTCGCCCGGGTCTGCGTCCGCTGCGCGCTGACTCGTCTGACGCTGAGATCGACGAGGCTGTGCGCCAGGGCGGCGCGACCTTCTATCATCCTGCTGGCTCGGCTGCCATGGGCAAGGTGGTTGATTCCCAGCTGAGGGTGTATGGCGTCGACGCCAGTGTTCTGCCTCTGTCGCTGGCTGGTCACTACCAGGCTGCGCTGTATGCCATGGCTGAGAAGGCGGCAGAGTTGATCGGTGCTGCTTAGCTTTGTTTTGTTTTTGTGTAGTGGTGTTCTGAGTTAATGCATAATGAATGGGTTTTATGTTATATTTCTCTGCTAGTGGTTCTCTGTTAGCTTGTCGTGTAGAAATTGTGGTTAAGGGTCGATGTGCTAGGGAGCTGAAAGGAAAGGGGGGTCCGGGGGTCCTCCCCCGGAATACTTTATCATCTGATTTAAGGGTTGAGGTGCACCAGGAAGCTGAAAGAAAAGGGGGGTCCGGGGGTTCTCCCCCGGAGTGCTTCATGGAACCAGTGGTTCAGCCCGTACGTAGCGGAAATTATTAGCTGCTAGTCAGGTTCGATTTACTCTTTGATATCTTTATCAGCGATGACGAACCGGGTTGCAGAGTGAGCGAATACTGTGCGTGATACAGAGTATATACACTGTAATGGCGATAGGTAGAAGAGGCTAGTTCCAGAACGTCATGTCATGTTTGTGGCCGGAGGAATGTGACAGTTTCTTGGGAGCAAAGAAGGGGCCTTGCTGCTATCGGACAATTGCTACCCACTACAGGTATGTACTGTACATACATACAGTACTAAGTACTTATGATCTATCGACTGCCGACTCATCGAGCTCATGCTTGGGTGACTGACGAGCAAGAAGACTCCACTGCGATCGCTGGCACGAAGCTTCCCCCCACCCGTGGTACTTTTGATGGAGTTTATCCGTGCCCGTGTCAGATTACCCGACCGGCGCGACCAGAAAGACACAAACCAAGGAAGAGAGACAGAATGAGTGGACCTGTCTAGACTCTAAGCAGCGCCTACCCTCCCACCAAAATATTTAACACCAGTTGTGAGCTGTAAAGCTGACCTTTGCTGATTCCCCGCTGGAGGGAATAATAGTCAGCGCCAATTCACCAATGTGACAGGCTGAAAGTAAAATGTTACCGAAGTGAGGCTGGGAATTGGCTGGCTGGCTGGCTGGGCCGCTGGATGGAGACACCCCGGTCGGATGCGCGGTGGAGTCAGTCCAAGTGAGACCAGCAGCAAGCCCCGGGGGCAACGAGGGCCGAGGAGCTCTCCAATGGACGGGTACCACGACTGGACGATGGGCCGCGGCCAGTGTGGTGGGCACGGCGGTTGGGAAAACCTGCAGCTGGTTGCCCGTAAGCTCGGCTTACTGGCTTGGAGGAAAATGTGATAGATTGTCAAACGGAGGAGCTGGACCGTTGCTTGTGGAAGAGACACTCATGATTGACGCTGGATTTGTTTGGGCGCGATTGCGCTCCAACCCCAACCTCCTGCATTTTCTTGGGCTATCCTCTTCCTGACGGGGTTGGCTGGCGGTTTGTTGTCTCGAACCAAAGATGACTGTTAGGGAACGCGGGATGACGATCCAATTTCTTTCAAGAGGGGGCCAGCACCGTGCAAGCGCATTGAGCGTCGATCGGCTGGAGCTCCAGGAAGCTCGGATTTCCGATGCGACCCGGGGAAACCGGCCCAGTTGCCATGGGGACCCGGTGGTGGCTGGCCAGCCTCGTGGTGTGTGCGCTGCGAGGAGAGAAGGCCTGCATGTGAACGAGGAGGAGATTGATCAATCACTTTGCACAGTGGATCGATCTGGCTGGGATGTTGGCTAGCGTTGGCTGGGTTTGGGGGGGGAGAGTTTCCCTATATAGATCGGCGTGGTAGAGATAAGTAAGTAGAGATGCAGATTTCAGGAACCGTGGATGTTGGCAATGACTGAACCTCGGGTCACTCCCTTTCGCCCCTCCCCCATTTCCCAGTTCCCACGGGATGACACCCTTCAATTGTAGAGTTGATAGTTCGGACGGGCTGGGAAAAGTAGGCAGAGGAGAGCAGAAAGTCAATTGAAGTAGGCAGAAGCTGATTAGATAGGATGTTGGGGGATAAATCTCAACCCCAGAAGCGGCAAGGTGTGGTAAACAAACGCGTGACGAGGGAAGAACATCCGCAATTGTATTTCAGCGGGTTTATTTCCCTCTTCCTCCACTTTCTCCTCTCCTTCTCTCTTCCTCTCTCTCTCTCCTCTTCCTCTTCAACCCTCTTTCACTTCTTCTTCCCTCTTCTCACATTCCTCAAGCTTTTTAAGCTTATCCTTATCTTACATTCCTCATCAGGAATTGTCTCCGCATTGCTCGGGTAGTTTGATCTATCAACTTCCCCTCCTCCACCTCTCCACGAGAAAGACTTCTCTCCCCCCGTAAGAGTCTTTTCTTGTCTCGCCTTTCGAGTTGTTCTTCAACAGTTCGAAAGGGATTCGAGAAAGGACGCCGACAGGACAGCCAATCTGGACTTCGACGCCCGCGTCCCCATCCCCTTCAGTGTCTTCCCGTCGTCGTACCGGAGTGACGCTGTTCCTGAAGCTACTCTCGCGGCCGCAGCCAGAGTAGAGGAAGAAGTCAATCTCGATCGCACTTCGCACGTCGAACGGGAAGATACTCGAACCTCTGCTCCTCTTCCCGACCCGCGTGTCTACGGAAAGGAAGAAGTCGACCTTCACTTCGTTGAGCAGGATCAGTTTGCTGCTTCGTCCGAGCCTCCTCGTCACAGTCACGGCCACGGCCATCATCACGAGCACTCGCGCCCTCACGACGTCAGTGTTCACTTTGACGAGCGTGTTACCACCACTACTAGCACTGCTCCCCCGCCCCGGTATCCCGAGGTTGATCTAACTCGTGAACGGTATGTTGAATTGGATTCCTTTTTAAAGACCTGTTCCGGGTTCGGTGTCTGCCTAGACACACCATCGACAGCAGCCAAGTGGAGAGGCCAAAGAAGCGGTGTCACCATCAGCTTCTCTCTTGGCCTAATGCGCTCTAGTTCGCCTCCTCCACTTGGATGGTGGTCTTGTATTTTCTTTTATTTGTTATTCTTTTCTATTTCTCGTTTAATTACGTGGCACCAAAACAAACAATGGCCCAAGTCCCCTGCCCCAAAGGGAACCCGACTGGGTCTTCCCGTCCTTTCCCACTCTTTCCCATCCCCATCTCTCTCCTCTTCTCCTCTTTTCTCCTCCACCACCCGCCCTCTTATACTTTCCCACCCACACACACACCTACCACACCCATCTTCCCCCCCCATACATACCTACCTACCTACCTTTCTTCTCTCTTGTCCTACCCAATCATCTTTTCTTCTTACCTCCCCCCCCCCTTGTCAATTCCCTATCTGACATCTCATCCTTCCTTCCCTCTATAGCTATCGTGAACCGTCGGTCCGTTTCCAAGACCGTCAGCCCACGTACGATCAAGCTCTTCAGACTCAGCTCGATATCACTGAGCGTGAGTACCGTCGTCGGGTCAACAACCCTACCTACGACGTCAACCCCGCCTACAACCGGTCTACCCAGGCTCCTGTCGTAGACTCCTACGCCCCAGGCCCCCGCCAGCAGACCAGGGACGTATCGTACGACCGCACTGTCCAATCAGAGATCGACGTCTCTTACGACCGTGCGTATCAGTCCAAGCCCGTCGACACCTACCAACGGGACCCCTACAGCCGCCGTCAACAGAGCGTTGAGCCGGTTGCCCAAGCGCCTGCTTCGTCAGCCAACGTTAAGGTCTTCAAGCCCAAGACTGTTGTGGATTCGCCTCCTTCTCGCAAGATGGGCTACTACGACGACGACGGTAACTATCACTCCTTCCGTCGTGGTGTGGAGCGCGTTGCCGACCGCATCATGCACCCCACCCACCACCACCACAACCATGGTCACAAAGACCACGAGGAACTAGTCGTCGCTGACGAACGCGGCCCAGTTCGATTCCGTGAAGGCGTCCGTGAGGATGTTCGCATCGTTGAGCCCCGTGCCGGCAACTCTTCCAGCACCGCCGAGACCGTGCCGATTCCCGTTCACTTCATCCGCATTGGCGACATCCTGATCCTTCAGGGCCGTCCCTGCCAGGTGATCCGCATCTCCGTCTCTCCTCAGACCGGCCAGCACCGCTACCTGGGTGTCGATCTCTTCACCCGTGAGCTCCAAGAGGAGTCCAGCTTCGTCTCCAACCCCTCTCCTTCGGTGGTTGTCCAGACCATGCTTGGCCCCGTCTACAAGACCTACCGCATCCTGGACCTCCGCGATGACGGTCGCCTGGTTGCCATGACCGAGACCGGTGATGTCAAGCAGGGCCTGCCCGTTGTTCCCCAGGGTCACCTCTTCCGTCGCATCCGTGAGGCGTTCGAGGACGGCCGTGGCAGCGTGCGTGCCCTGGTCATCAACGACGGTGGCCGTGAGTTGGTTGTCGACTACAAGGTGGTCCACGCTTCCCGCTTGTAAGCCGTCCAACTTTCCCGGGTGGGGCATGGCGCGTCGGACCGGAACCGTGGTCACTCCCGCAAAACAACTACCACGGGTCCGTCCGCGGGTCGTTACTTTTGTTTTTCTCGCAGCGCACGATCATTGATGACCTGAGAAGTTAAATCTTGTATCTGATGGATTACGTATGATGGAATGGCCTTTTGAAGAAAAATTGTTTACTTGGAATGTATCATGGCCTTCTTGTATCTAGCAATAATGGATGTAGATCATGATCTGGATGGTCCGGTAGCCTGAGCATTCCAAGTAGACTGAGACAGTGTTCGCGCACACAGCACAAAGCGAACCTTGTCTCAGATAACGAGCACCTGTGCCTTGAGTAACGCTATCACTAAGACATGTATGAAAGACAATGAGAAAAGGGGTGTTTCAAATATGTTGTGCCATGTATGCTTGAACCCCCTGAATAACTGGTCTCCCCAAGCATCCTCTACTTCTCCGCGCTTCTTCCCATCTCCCCTCCACACTTATTCTTCCGTCTAGCTCTTCGCCACTTCTTTCCGAAATACCACTATCGAACATGATAGGTAGCTTGGCCCCCTCTCGACCTCCACCCCAGCATTCAATCTTGCAAAAGAATAAACCACCAAGAATACCCACAACCCTTCTAATCCAGTAATAGTCAGCCACGGCCCGTTCAAATCCAGTCGTAGTCCCCCCTGAACAGCAGCGACTCTCAAACTCCCAACCTTGATGCTTATGAGTCGCAGAGTCATCTGATCCCTTGATCATAACGAACAAACACTCAACGAGTGTAAAACATGTTCACTCCTGGACCAGCAACGTAGAACTTTCGTCGGTGTATCTGGGGATAATCCATACGTACGATCTCGGGGTCTTAGGAATGAGTATCTGTCTATCCGATCTCACTGCTGCGTCGACTCACTTCTATGCTAGGACTTGTCAATGCCGGAGGAGGGACTATACTTCGACCAGTTTGAGGCTGAGAAAGGACTAGACTTCCTTACTCAGCAGGAACGAGCGAGCGAGGTCTATCTACGTCCTGAGTAAATACTGGATTACCGGAACATCTCAAAGTGAATCAATCCATGAATTAATTTATCCGCCACGCAGAGAAGAAGTAAACCTTCATTCCGCAGTGTGAGAAAGGCAGACAAGACAGGCACCGAAACAGAACCCGAGGGGTATCACCCATCACCTAGTGCCCAATTCCGAAGGCCCCAGATGGTTTCAAATGTCCAATGTTGTGAACGTAAAGAATCCCGTGTATCCCATCCCATCCCGTCCCATCCCATCCCGTCCGTCCATCCATCCATCCTTCCCAAGCGCCAATTAGTCCCATTACCCGAGGGGTAAGATAATAAAAGAAAATCCGTATGTCTCGTCAACCAAAAATATTAAAACAAAAGCTTCCAACCCTGTTCCCTCACATATCCGAGAGATCTCGCCCACATACCCGAAAAATCAGACGGCCTCCACTACTTTGTCCTGTTTGTGGAAGCGAGCGAAGGGTGCTTGAACTCCATGGACAAAGTAAATCAGTTGGATTGATTGATTGATTGTGGTTCATCGGCCTGGATTAGGATTATAGGGTGTGCTTTCCGCATGGTCTGCGGAATATTTATAACAAAGTACATCGAAGTGAATCAGACAGTAAAAAAAAAAAAAAAAGAAAAAGGAAATGCAAAGGAGTGAACGAAGATAGAAAAGATAAACAAAAGATGGTACAATATATATATTAGAAAAGGTAAATCGGTGATTGTAGAGTGGATTGGTTAATCACGCAGCCCGAAAGCCTTGCGTAGTCGCGGGAATCGCTTCTTGCGTCCGGAGGGGGCAATGATCACGTCTGCGGCGGTATTGCTACCATCGTTTTTGGCTCCTGACGCTGTGGACGAGGGGTCCTGGTTCTCTTGGGAGATAGGTGCCGTCGCGGGAGTCGTGCTCGGGTCGTTGGTGTGGGCATCCTCGTCGACTCTGGCTAGGCGCTCGTCGGCGCCGTTGCTGGTAGCTGCGGGTGCGGTTCCGGAGTCCTTACGGTCGGTCCGCAATGGCCAGCCGTCGCTGCGCGAGGATCGCTGTGATGCGCGCCGCACGAGCTTGGAGGAGGTGGGCGGCGCGGGTTTGGTCGCCGTGATTGTGGTGACGAAGTTGGATTGAGCTCCGGGCAGTGGGGGATCCTGCTCGCCGTCGGCTCGCGAGCGCTCCGGACGAGCAGAGCCGTTCGTGTATGACCGGCGATTGACCGGCGACTTGGACTTGCGGATGCTGAAGCGCTGCAATAGTCCTGCCTTGCGCCCGCGATTGGGCTGGAGAAACTCGTCCATTTCCTCATCTGTCATACCACGATTTTTAGCCACTGCCGCCAAGGCCGGATCTCGCGTTGGGCCTGTCTGGCGGGGAGAAGACACAGCAGGCCGCGGTCGAGAAGCGGCCAGTTGTCGCTCCTCGTCGGAGCTATCTTCTAGTTCCGTAGAGTCCCCGTCGTGGGCTCCCTGCCGACGAGGGATCCCCCGGACTGGGGGTAACGGAGCTGGTCCCCTCTCATCATCACTAGAGTCTTCATACCGGTACCGCGATCTCCAATTGTCGAAGCCCTCGTCATCATCTGAATCAGGGAAGCGTGAGGTGAATCGACTACCTGGGACCTTGGATACCTTACCCTTCGGCGACTTATTGGAAAAGAAAGAGCCTTTCTCGCGCCTGTTTCCATTCATCCGAAGGGTAGTTCGCATGTTGCCGCCCGACTGAGGTGAACGGGGGCGCGACTCAGCGGGTGGGGCCATTGTCCTGGCTGGAGCCTGTCGGACGGGTGGGCTGCCGCGCATGGTGAGTCGCATGGTGTGGTTCGAATCTGCCCGAGATGGACGGCTGGCTCGTTTAAAGCTGCTCGACGAGTCGCTACCGCTAGAGAGTGTTCTCCGCGGAGTCGGTGCTTTGGCATTGACTTGCGACGCACGATTCTTGCCATTGACTCCATTCTGCATGGCAGCGGGACTCCATGACATAGGTCTCGCCCGGCCTTGGGTAGCTGTCTGCTCCGGCTGCGATGCACTCGGTTGGGGAGCGATCGAATCCCGCAGCGGCGCTGCACGAGGAGCGGTGTTACCTGCTCCATTGACTAAGATGGAATGTCTGGCAGACTTGACATTGAGAGAAGCCGGCCGCGTGAGATCGGTCTGAGCGGAGTCTTTCTTGCTTTGGGACTGCGATTGCGCTGTGAAGGGAGGGTAAGGTGACGAGAACGGGAGCGCTTGATTTACTGACCCGGGGGACTCTGGGACGGGACTGAGAGCAGCAGCTTGTGCAGGGGAGCCCGCGCGAGCAATCTGGCATGTCTGTGGGTACTCTAAGTCCGACCACTCATCCGGATTATGCTGGTCCTTATCGGGACGATCAAGCTCTGCTGCTGGTTCTTTGGACAAGTTGGGCGACGTGCGATCATCAACAACGGCATCAATAGAGCCGAAGCCATTGCCATTAACGCCCTCTTCTGCATCACTGTAGACACTCTCACCGGATTCGTCGTCCGTCTCGTGCTCTGCCGTGGAATCAACCATGACGTCCGTTACAGTGTCCTCCCATGTGATTGACTTCTTCGACTTCATCTGCGGAAGATTCGATTCCAGTGAGGAACGTGGGAAGCCTCCCGGAACTTCGTACCATTCCAAACTCGAGCGCTCTTTGTCGAGTTCGGGTGACGCTGGTTGAACTGTAATGTCAGGAACTGTCAAAGTTTGCTTGGGGGTTTGCGGTTCGGCTGCAACGGCCGGGGGTTTGACCTCCGCCGGCTGGTCGGGTGTTGTATCTGCCTGGTCCACCATTTCATTTGGCTGAGTTGCGTCCAACGTGCCTGTTTCCTCCAACTTGTTGTGAGGAGGACTCGTAGGGCGTACAGAAGCGACGCTCTCCTGCGGCACCTCAGTTCGAGAATTGGCGAGAATACCCCCGACAGCCTGGTCATTAGAGAACGAATATCTCAAGGTATCTATCGGAGAGTCGGATGACGTAGTGGATTCGTTGTCGCTCATTTCGCGATGTTGTACCTCCGGCTGTCCTCCCGTCCTGTTGCCCCGAATGCTGCCAAACGAGGGCAGAGCTAGCCGTGGTTTCAAAACATGCTCGAAATCGTCAGGCGTCCCGCTCCGTAGATTATGTCTCCGCTTGGAAAACCACCCACCCTTACTCTTGGGCTTAGACTGCGGGGACTCCGGTAGAACTTCGTCAGGGGATGTTGGCGGGCTCGCTGCGGTACCCACGATCTCAGCCTCATCGTCGAAGCTGACTTTGGCAGGCCTCCTCTTTACCCCTTGCTTGGACCCATCATCAGAGGCTACGGAGGTGCCATCCGACAACTCACTGAGCGCAGGGCCTAGTCTCAGAACCGATTCTGTATGAGAATCAGGAGCGAGCGAATCTTTCCGCGGGTGCTTCATTGCAGATTTAGCCGGCGATACGGACCTTGGCGGGGGTTGGTGTAGATGATCGCTCGGAATGTTCGCCACCAACAGATGTCGTGAAAAGTGAGCGGAGCGACCGGGACTGCTGGACTGATGCGTGTGTGACAGTTGCGGCTCGGTACTTGGTTCGACCGAAGGCTGCGAGCTTGGCGGACTGACGGGTGGACTTAGCAACTGGTCCTTGACTTGATCCGGAGTAAATTGCGGTTTGATGGTCTGTGGGCTCTCTGGCGTCACAGTACCTCCACGAGGAGGCTCTGCTCGCTGCACAGGAGCAGTCGTTTCTGCCTGTTCCTCCCCCTGAGCATCCTCCGGTACTGTTGATGGACGCTTCACCAAGGCAGGACGAGTAAGATGTCGATTCTCAGGCGCCAAGAGCTGCTGGGTCGGCGCTGGGTCTGGAACACTGCGATCCTGCGAAGAAGGTCTCCGCGGAGAGGCGGCCACAGGACTTGCTTCTTGACTTCGGGGGACAATGGCAGCCTGTGCGGCAGCCACCGCAGTTCCCGAAGACGGTGGACGTTGACCGGGGCTGCCGGGGGAGACCCCGCGTGTCTTGGCCGTCCGTGTAGCTCGGGGGCTCCTTGTTGGATTCTTGGGCGACTCCGCGGCAGAAAGCTGATTAGCCAGAGAAGTGCTCGCCGACGCATCCTTTCCTATCGAGCCCGTCGGAGATGTCGGGCGGGAGCCCATGGGGTATGAGAAATTGATCGAATTTCGACTCGCGGGTCGTCGCAATTCGGGTGACGGCGTCGAGGCGGGCGCTCGTGCGGGCGCTCGTGCGGGCGGCTGAGTGGCAGCGGTGCGATCCCCGCTCGTTCCCCGATCTGCTAACGGTTTCCCGCGCGGACTTTGTGGCAGCGATGGGCCCATGCTCACAGATCGACGTGCCTGGTCATTTCGCCCGGTGTATTGGCGAGGGATGGACGGGAGCGGCGGTGCGGGGTCGACATGTCCAGCACTCGATGCCGGTCGCCGCGGGGACTGATCTCGAAATGTGCGATGCGTCATGGAGGCGGAACTGCTCGAGCGACGGAGTCCATTCCCGCTGATGGGTCGCAGACTAGGCGTACCACTTCGCTGCGAGGATACGGAAGTCCTCCGTTGCATCATTCGCTTAGTCTGAACATTTTCGATGGGGGTCGGCGTGGGCGTGAGACTGCGCAGGGCGGCCGCGGCGGCGGCGGAGGAGAGGCTACTAGAGGAGGGTTGGGATTTGAGAAAGGCATGGCTGGCAGCGGATTGCGCGGACTGAGAGGAGGATGCAGAGAGAGAATGCTAGGCGCATGAGCAGTGTTTAGTTTCGTGACGACCCAGAGACCATTTCCATGGAACAGGGGGGCTTACCTGATGTTGCGAGGAGCTCCTCTTTCTGCGGAACATGGCTCAGGCGCTTGTTGCCCGAGAGGGGTACGAACAAGACCAGCGCAATTGAGATTCCAAGCGACTGAAACCGTGGAATCGATCTCTATATGGATGAGCGGTAGAGATGGAAAAAGTGCGAAGTGTTGTATAGCGGGCAGGATTAAGGAGATATTGGCGGAGGTCGGCGGAAGGAGAGAAAACAAACAGAGTGAGAGAGTGGCAGCCAGCAACGGAGAAAGTGAGTGAGTGCAGATGCAGAAGATTAATCGGACAAGCGGCGGGAGGTGTGAAGAAAGGGGAGAGAAAAAGGAAAGGAGAATGCAGGGCTGCACGAGGTAGGGGATGGGGGGAAAGAAGTGAAGGAGGATGAATCAAGATAGAAGGACGGCCCACAAGTCCAGCGACAGAGAAGGAGAGGAAGAAGAAGCAGTAGTAATGAAAGGAAAGACGTAAGTTAAGGTAGATTAGGTTTGGATCACCCAGAGGAGAAGGGAGAAAAAGGACGAGAATTGGGCTGCACAAACCGGTTGCGTCATGGATTGAGATCGGGTCGAATCGAGGATCGAGTCTCGTTCGTTTTCTTTCCCACTCACTTACTCGTAACTTTGGGACCCGGAGACAACAAACGCTGGAACGGTGGAGGCTTGCCTCCCTGTGATTGGTGTGGTCTAATCGGGAAAAGCTCCGGGTCCGCCGGACGGAAGAACGTGATCTACAGGCTAAGCTCCATCGGGCAGTTCTGCAGTCCTGACTCCTCAGGCCATCCATTTTCCCCCTCGCTCCAGACTCAATAATCCACCAGCCTCTCCTCTCTCCCTCCCCACAATGACAACATCCTTCGTCAAACTTTGAATGACGATATCCATGCTCCTCTGTTTACCATCACTTCTCTTTTACGGCTTCTGATAACCGTCTTTGGTCTTACAGATTATCTCTCCAATGGCTTTTATACCCTGTATCTATAATAGAAAATGATTTCAACATCAACCCACTTCAACCTGCGCCACATTCCTGCTTCCATTCATGACCTACATGCAGAGTCTAGCCTTATCTATAGAATGCCAAGAAAATTCAAACCGGAGTCCATTCGCCTCTCGACCTCGCTGAGATCGAGGCTGCGACGGAACTCATAAGCACGCCAGACATCCGCTGCCAAAGTGGTCGCGGTGAATAGGCATCTCGCAGTAGGAACGGGTCGCGGCGTAGCCCTAATCGAGGCTAAAACATGAGATTTCTCGCAGCAAACATTGCAGACAACAAGGTTCCAGTCCCGAAAACCCACGCAGCCGCCGTGGAGACCAGCACTAACAAGCCTTGGGTTAACATGCAATACCTTCTTGGCGATACGTTCTAGATCTATTGCCATTCTGAAGCCGATTGAGAAAGTCACAGATTGTGACTGAATTCAAGTTGCAATGACTGAGCTACGCAGTATACCTGGCCATCTACTTCGGTATGTCGAACCACCAGCGCTACCTTGTGCGGACTTGAATCCTAGAATTGTAGGTGTGCCGGTTTATCTGAAAGTCAGGAAGAGATCAATTTTGTCGGCATCGAGAGACTTCACCGGACAGAATTGAAACAATATATTCCACTGTTGCGGAACATGGTTAGTCGGCTCTGAACAGCCACCGCATCAGATACCGCGTGCGCTTTTGTGGTGCGATCCAACAGGTGGTTATCTGCCATCTCTTCCTTTCAGCTTACAAAAGACATGTCTTCCTAGATTTACGCAGTCGGAGGATTTGATATTATATTTAGGAGAGAGTCATGGCCCGGAATACCTCCAGGTTTTCCCAGTGACTATTTTAAGACCATATATACAAACGAAAGTACTATACCCCTCCGGAGATTGTACTGTGCCGCTTCATAACTTTCTCAGGTCCAGGTTCATGAGCGTCCGTTTCCTCTGTTGTGATCTCCCACTGGATCTCTTTCACGATCCTTACTCCACTATGCACGCTCCCCAGATTTTCGGCCAGCTCAATCTCATCTTGCAGCTGAGTGAGGCCCTCCTTGCGTCGTCCCCGAGTGCTTTCTCGAGTATAATTATAGGCATAGTTCTGCATGTAGCGACGGGCGAGACTGCTATGCTCGCCAATCCAGCGGGGCGCGTACCGACGGAGCAGGTGTCGGAGAAAAGGTAGACAGGGGCAGATAATAATGAAGTTGGCTTCGATGTTACTATCGCGGTTCCAAGAAATTAGAATGGGTTTAGCTGCAACGGACATAGCTAGAGACAAAACAAGGTGAGGCCTTACATCCACAGATCCGGCCAGCCGATAGCATGTGTCGGATCGCTGGAGTTCAAGAAAGGGATAAGGGTTATTAGACGAATGATGCCGGTAACCAGGGTGCTGTCGATTGAGTCAGTATGTTATCTTGATCTGTGAGGATACGCCCGAGGGAGATGGACATACGCGCATCCGACCATGAACATGAACAGCAGTCCTATCTTCTGAACGGTTGGCATGTTCAAACCTATTACGGTTGGAACCGGAACAATGATCAATGCAATGTCTGTGATGATGTTCATGACTGCTGTCGCGACGTAGAGTGCGTACTGGTCGATGCAAGACCCTGTGACTGATAGACTCCAGGCTTTGTGGACTGGCTGGCACCCAAAGATGAAGGCGAAAATCAGGGCTATGCTGTAGCTGCTGACAATGAAGGCGAGGGCGTAGAGTGTCCATCGCTGGTAGTGTTCCTGACAAAGGATGCGGTAGTATAGTATGATAAGGCTGATCTTTGCAAGTGCAAGCGCTGGGACGTAGATAATTGCTGCCGTGAAGACGACCTGAGCTGCGTTAGCGGAGTGACTGTGTCAACACATTGCGGAGGTAGAAAAAAACCTTGATGTAGGATTCATAGACTTCAGGAGGAAGATTCCATAGGTGAAGTCCCATGCCTCCGTGACGGTACCCGTCTGAGACGAGATGGTCAGTAGAAGGCCGACAGAAAACCAAGTACAAACTTACAAAGTGAGCATGCCTGAGTGCCTAATGCGAACAGCTGTGGTAAATGGAAGTTAGCATGCCCCGCTAACTTCTAATCTAGTAGTCCGTTTGCCTACCCAAGCCAGAATAATCGATACTGTCAACTGTCAGTCCAAGTCTCTAAATCCACTTGATGCACCACAGACATACCATCGTCCCATCCGAATTTGTGCAGCAGGCGTGCTTTGGTGAAGACTCGCACCGCAAGAAAGCTGGTACTGAGTGTTAAACCTGCGGAGATAATCGCCACGTTGGCTCGGTATAAGTAGCGCTTGGAGTAGTCAAAGTCGTATGTCTGCCCCGGAGGAGGCTCGGCTGCTGTGACAATGACCATCTTGGGTATTGGGTGAGTCCACAAATCAAGCACTATCTGATGCCATTTTGTTCTCCAAACTGCGGGTGATTAAGGACAATAGGCATTGTCTTCAGGATTTCAGGATCACATCTTGACCAACAATGATGGCACATCGAAATTAAATGGGGATCTCAGAGAACTGGGGCTCTGAGCCCGAGTCTGATTTTTTCCTTCTCATCGTGTGCGACGCAGACAGGGATATGGGGTGGCATGTCTTTCCAAATTGGGCACTGCTGACACGACGACAAACAACCAGATCTTGTCTAATATAAATTGACTTTCCCATCCCCTTAGATCGAGACATGCTCCACAGGGATTGCTGGGGTTGTATGGCAGCGAAGTAGGGAGTGGAGACCCGATCGCACGAGCCGTTGCTTGACGATCCCGACTAGCCCCGGCTTCCCCTCCAGCTGAACTTGCCTGGCCACTTCATCATCCTTCCTACCGTGCTGGACAATAGTCTGGTGGAGCTGCTTTCCTGAACAGAACACACCAGGCAGGGATCCTAACGAAGCGAGCAGATTCTGCTCTTTTAGGACTTGTGTCGCGTTTTCTCTTACTCAATCGCATCGACAACCTCTCCTCGCTCAGTATTGTTGCTGCCGTGGCACAGAGCACCGAGGTTCAAGATATTGAGTACCTCTAAGTATTTCCCCAGCACCGAGGCATCGTGTCAATGCAGTTTCCAAGATATGCAATAAATCAGAGCTAATGCCTTGTGTTCTTATCAGTTCTCCGTCTCATCTGACAAAACCTTGCGTTGAACTCGGCCAATATTGTCCTTCTGCCAGCGACTGACAACATCTTGCAAAGAACGCAAAAGTCGCCGACTCAGCGGGTCCACAGCGTAGAGAATTGCGACCGAGGTTCGGCGATGTCTTCCTATCGCTCTCCCAAATCATGACCGGTCACAATAGTCCTTCTCCGCTTCCCAATTTCTTTAATGTCTAAATGTCTTGTGCTTCCTCCGCTCCACATTGGAAACCAATCTACAGGTTTATTGCCTTACTCCATCCGAGGAGCCCGGGCCGACTAAGATTTCGGGGGGCCCACCTGCCTACGGAGTACGGACAAGCGGCCCGCGGGCTGAGAGACCCAAAGGCCGTCTGCCCCAAGCCTAGTCTAATGTCACGAATCGCGAGCCTCCAACTTTCTGGCATCGTCTCCATATGTGCTCGTGCGGGATGTTGAATTTTAACTTTTACCACTGACTCCTGAGAAGTCAATATTACCAATTACTACTTGCCAGAAATGGAATTCCCGCATTGCAAGGGAGCTCCACCGAGTCGGCCACTTTCTCAGTCTGTCGTGCACCATTCTTGCTTCCTCCATCTCCTTGCGTTTACTATTGGCGGCTTCTATCGATCAGCATGGTTATATACGCACGAACGTGTATAGCTCCATGGCTTACTTCGCTCGTGCTCCGCACGTCGAGATTGCACTTAACGTTAGTGCATACCTCATCGTGGCTAGTCGTGGTATCGTGCCACCCGACCTCATTCTAGACATGCGCATGTCAGGAGTCATTTGACTGTGGAAGTTGGAAGTGGGTTGCTTCCGCAGCCGAGCTTTAACCGGAGGGCATGCGTTCGAGTATAAGAGGCATTGGACGCCGGACGACAGAGCAAGCAAGAATCATCGGGTTTCTGTTACTCAAAAATCACAATGAAGGCTTCCACCGCATTAGCACCTCTCCTTGGCCTCTTGCCCAAAGCCACCTACGGGTCAAATACCACTACCACCTGCGTAAGTTGTCTGGCGATCCGTACTTCGAAGGGCAAATTCAGCTAATCTTGATGCTCCTTAGTGCTCAGCACTGCAAGCTACCTCCCTTCGTGATCTGGTTATCTTCCCCTCCAGTATAGCATATAACGAGTCGGTCACGTCTTACTTTGCTGTAAATGCTCAACTACGTCCCTCGTGCATTGTTCAGCCACATTCCGCTGAAGAAGTCTCGCTTGCTGTCTCTACTTTGGTCAAGGCTGGCGCTTCTCAATGCAAGTTTGCGGTACGTAGTGGTGGTCATACCACGTGGGCCGGTGCGGCAGACATCGAACAGGGAATCACGATTGATCTCTCGATGATGAACAGCACCACGTACCATGCAGACAAGGGCATGGCTTCTATCCTGCCTGGCGCCCGCTGGCAATCAGTCTACAAGGCTCTCGATGCCTATGGAGTGACTGTGCCTGGCGGACGTGGTGGGCCAGTTGGTGTAGGTGGATTCTTGATCGGCGGTAAGTGAACATCGATTTATAACAATCCAGCAAGCTTACCTGACCCTTTCAAGGTGGAAATACCTTCTATACGGCGCGAGTGGGCTTTGCGTGCGATAACATCGAGAACTTCGAGGTGGTCCTCGCAAGCGGCGCGATCGTCAATGCCAACCGGACCAGCAACCCCGACCTGTACAAGGCCCTGAAGGGTGGTTCAATCAACTTTGGCATCGTCACCAAGTACGACCTCAAGACCATATCTCATGATGGGCTCTGGGGAGGCTTGGTTGTCTACGACAACTCCACCACCGAACAGCAGATCTCAGCCGCAGTAAACTTTGTCGACAACATACACAATGACCCTTACGCATCTTGGATCGGCATGTGGGAATACAACTCAACGACCGGGCAGAACATCATCGCCGATGCTCTGGAATACACCAAGCCAGTAGCTTATCCTGCTCCTTTCAGCGAGTTCGTTGGTATCGAAAACACCACCGACACGATGCGGTTCGCCACCATCTATAACCTGACCCAGGAATTGGTCCAGGCAACGGGATATCGGTAAGATCTGACTTCGCTACAAATAAAAGGCCTTCTCCTGACAGACTTCAGCGACATCTTCACCACCGGCACCTACCGAAATGACGCCAAAGTCCTCCGCAAAGCGATTGAGCTGCACAACAACAACATCGAAAAGGCTAAAGCCGCAGCCAAGAGTGTTTCCTGGGCCATGGATACCATCATCCAACCCTGGCCCAAGCTATTCTGGGAGCATACAGTAGTCAATGGCGGCAATGTGCTTGGCCTTGACCGCTTTGATGAAAACCTCGTTCGTATGTATACCCAAGCACCATGAGTTTACTCGAGATCTATTGACAGTTCCCCGCAGAGGTGCTCTACGATTACTCCTGGGACGACGAACAAGATGACGCTCTCTTCACCCACCTTGGACGGACCGCCTTGAACGAGCTTGACGAATACGCCAAGTCGATCGGGTCGGACAACGAGTACATCTACCTCAACTACGCGGACAAATCCCAGAGCCCGCTCAAGGGTTACGGAGAGGAGAACGTCCAGTTTATTTCCCGCGTGGCCAAGCAGTATGATCCCCACGGCATCTTCCAGACCCAGGTGCCGGGTGGATTCAAGATCAGCGAGGTAGTATGAGCGATACGAGGGCGAGGTCAATGCACGCCTCTTTCGCGATTGCAGCGCAGCCATCGAGTTGTGATTGATGTGGAAGCACAAGACTGAGGTCATTCCCATCACCATGACCAAAGTCCCACAGTTGGACCAGAGGGCTAGTGTATTCCCAGTCTGCCACCCGGGAGACCATTGCCGTGTGAAAAAGAATGGCGCATCCGAGCCGTGGGATTTGCTGGCCGACTGGATCGGTAATCGTAAAGCCAAACAAGAAAGACTGAAAATAGAACGAATGAATGATCATATAAGTGGAGTGGGCGCCGGAGGATCGGCCCACCGCCAAGGAATTGCTGTTCGATGCAGGATTTGGATCTTCGTAGAAGGGTTTAGCTATATACATCGCAAGCTAACCCCACCTAAGTAATACATACATAACCATCCTCTGGACGGCCCGGGAATCGATTCATTGTAACTCTTTTCTTTTCTCTAGATCGCTCCGTGAAATTATGTAGGGGCTTTACTCTCGCTTTTTCTGTCGGTTAATTAAGGCATGGGATCTTGATACGCTCCGTCAGGTCCAATTTAGGGCGTGGAAACACGAACTCTGAGCTAGATAAAAGGATCTTGTTCATATCGTAGTGTATATCCACGAGAATTGGGTTTCAGTTATACTGGTATCTAGCCTTGTCTCAGCAATCTAAGTTTAATAACCCCTTCACACTTGTCTCGAGTTTTTCAACTTCATAGTCACAGAAACTACTTTGTCACTTCCATAGTAAAACCAAGAGAGAGAGAAAGAGAGAGAGAGAGAGCAGAATCAAAGCCAAGAACCCAGACCACCGGACCACCGGACCACCGGCCCAAGCCTGATTGGTCGCCTAACCTTCCGTTCCCCATGCCTAGTGGGGAAGGACCTTCCCGGGGGCCGTCGAGCCCTGAGCTGAGAAAGGAAACTAAAGTATCGACGATCGATCATCTTCATTCAGTCATTCAGTCATCAATCAAGCAATCAATCATTTAAATCAAACTGCCTTCTGAAGAATCGAACAGAAAATAGGGTTACTCTAGACTAACGTTATAGCTGGAATGCGGCTGCAGTCAGCTTACATTCCTATAATCAGTCAATTCCTACACAAGAAATACCCACCTGACGCAAAAGCGATACTTACTCCAGTGCTAAGTCTGACAGCCACCTCCCGCAGCCGCTCCGAGGTCAGACCAACCTGAAGCCAAGACCAGCAACAGAAACAAGCTCAGTGACCGAGAGTCACTCACGGCCAGCCTGCCAGTCATTTTCTCCCACGAAACATCCAGCAATTCCAAAATCGGCAGGCACGTGCTGTTCGATGATGTCGCTTTCCCCATTCGGAAGTGGCAGGCAACTCAGCCGAGCCGAGCAACAAGCCTTGGGGAAAGAGTAGTCTATGAGCAACTGGGACGGAAATATGAGAGACAGAAGAGTGAAGAAAATCCCTCTTCCCCTCTTCTTCCTCTTCTTCTTTCACTCTAATCTCACTTCCCCCTCCTCGGTTCCTGTCCCAGTTTCTGCAGGCCTTAACTAAGCCCCCGGATCCTTTTCGACTTCCTATTCTCCGCCTTTGTTCTTTCTTTGCTACGCTCTCCCCCTTGGATTCGAGACTGTAATCTCTCTTTGCTATCAGTGGTTACTAACAACACAAGTGGTGGAATGCTTTCAATATTCACAATCATAATCCGACAAAGAACAGACAACAACATGCTTCATTAACAACAGGATTCATCCTGACTCCTTTCGTGACCGTCTATCATGAATGCGAATTATGTATGCAAATGCTATATGAAATCATCAACGACCGAAAAACACGCTGGTATCACTTCGAGAAAAGCAAAGTCGCTCGAAAAACACAGCTGAAAACTTATGTAAACAGTACCGAACAGGAGAATCGTCAAGAACGTGATGGAATGCCTCTGAACTCCTTTCGCAGGTGCTGAAGGCGATAGTCGACATATATACACGGCCCGGGGCGAAGGGCCTTGTGAAAACCTGGAGACGCGTGATCGAACACGGCTAGGACGTCATGGCCGCTTCCTCGCCGTCGTTCCAGCCCCATTCCCGGAGCAGTTGATTCACCCGATAATCGGTGGCCCAACCGAGATCCGCTTCGATTCCCTGCAACAGGTGCAGCACCGTTCGTCTTTCGGCAGCATCAGTGAGACACTGACCGCTGACAAACAACGGTTGGAGAGAATTGATGCGTACGGAGCCGGTCGGGCACGCCATGGCAATGCCCACAATCTCCCGGCTGTGGAACCGAATTTCGTTCTCGATAGAACGATATGAGTTAAGTCTGTCCGTGATGGTACTCCGTCTGCTAGTCGACGCGTGGGGCTTGTTGATCAGGAGAAGGATCCGGGCCATATGATAATGCTGCATGGCTGACGCGCACATGGGTATGCTATACCAGATTTCAGACAGTGCTCCAGTGTCCGCTTTCTCACCATCTTTTGCTGATGGTTCAGTTCGAGCACAGGGCTGGAAGATATCCGGAAGCCCATTGTACCACACATCGAGTTCGGCCTCGAGGCGAATCCATCGCTCCAGTAAGGCCTGTTGCGACAAGCCGAGAGGCCCGGTACTCAGTGGGCTGGGGTGACCCAACGGTACCTTATCGCCGGCACTTATAAAATTCACAATTTTGGAAAGGATCCAAACCAGGCCATTGCAAATCATGTCCTCTCTCAACACGTCATCTCCATCAAAATAGCCAGACGCGGTTGTGTTACAGGAGCTGACAAAGCCCTGATTGTCAATTTGCAGACCGGCTTCCGTCCAGAGGACCAAGTCATCGGTATTTAGCCTTGTCTGAGTCTCATTGATGACTATTGCAGATTGCGAATGCGAATTAGTATTACACCACAAAGGTTTAATAATTGAAGCATACGAATGGTTCACTCACAAGCAGCCAGATAATCTTGTCGGGCAAAATTCCAGAAAGTTGCTCTCCTCGCTGTCGACAGACCAGACTTCTTGTTGTGTTGCAACGTGGATTCGGGACGTTGTTCAACCGGCATCATTCCCACTTCTGCAACATCTAACAAGGATTTTACACCGCTCAGATGTCGGTTCCATGCCGGACCTGTAGCATCAAGCAATTCATATACAGATAGTATCGCCGTTGCGGCGAGGATCTCGTCCGAATGTACGCCCTTGGAAAACCGACTCTCTGAATAACGTCGCCGGCGTTTGCGAGGGTTATCACTCTCCTCGCACAATTCAGCGGCCTGCCATTGGCCGAAAGCCTCCGGTGTACTTAGAGGCGGTGGCCCTTTATCCGGCTGCAATTCCTTCATCAGGAGCTGGATAGCCTTTTCATAATACTTGGCACCCCTCCAGGACCAGTCTACGTTGCTCGCGTTCTGCTTGGAATAAATCCCACCGGACGACATCTTTTCCACCTGGACTCGTCCCAGTTGCTTGGCTGCATGTGCGCAGGCGGCATATTTCAGCAGAGGATTTCGAAGCGCTCTCACAGGGATATAGGAGGCGAAGTAAGTTCCGACATCGAAAAGGTCCATCCTGTCTTATAATCAGTATAATCCTTTTGGTTCAACATCTACTTATCACCACCCACCAAAGTCCTGGAACTTCTGAGAAATGCCGCAGCAGGTATGCGACCTCTCTATCTGTTTCTGCAGGCGCATGTGACTTCGATTCTGCATTCGAGCCCCGCGAAATTGCTGACTTGGCGGTCAACGAAGAGCTCCTACGCTCCAGAGGGTGGTGGATGATAGGATCGACAGGTGGTGACCGAGCTTGCGATGGATTCAGAAGGAAGTTGATATTATTATTACTGTTGGTATGGTTGGAGGTAATGGACAGAGGTGGCGATAGCTGAGGGGCTAGCACGCTGCGCAACTGACTGGGCGATGGACCAGACGATGCTGTAGCCGACAGGCTATTGAAAGGAGAGGCAGCATCCACCGCTAGGAGAGACTGTTGATCGACGCTCAGTGAATTGAAAGAGAGGCGGTCATGGGCGGCCACTGTGGAGAGAGCTTCCAGGCCATTATTTTCGGCATCGGCTGAGGGTGTGCGCTGCGACCACGCGCGATTCTGGGAGTTCGCGGCGAGGATGGCGGCCTCCGACTCGCCCAGGGCCGCTTCGAGGTCTTCCGCATAAGGATCCGAGTTGTCGACGAAGATGACTAGAACGCAACTCCATCAGACAAGTCGCGAGGCGTACAAGGCTTCCTTCAGGTACCGGATGTTGCTCATACCATGCTTCGGAATGTCCAACCACACGCTGTCTTCATCAAAAGTGTTCTTGTATGAATAGAAGCCCTTCAGGCTACCCCGACCGTTGGGATTCTCCTCTACGCTTTTGTTCATCGAAGCATTTTGCTGATGGCGGAAGACGATCCCTTCACTAGGGCGGCACTCCCTCGCCCCTTTGCGGCATTGCGAGCACTCCGGTTTCTGCTCGTCGCCTAAATTTTGGGAAGCCCTTAGTATTTGCGCCATAGTAGTGAACTGGCTTCAGCGTGGTTGGAGCTTACATTTGAGTTTCCGAGTGCGACACGTTAAGCTGAAAACCCGCCGTCGCAGTTAGCTCGACGATGCTGAATCGAAGGATAGGAAAGAACAAGAAAATAGATAGCGTCGCAGTGAAGTGAAAAAGACATGTCGGTGTTGAAAGTGTAGCGAGATAAGTGGTGAAAATGATACATACCAGCCTGTGCGGGATCGCATACCGGATAGGAGCGACGACGGTTGAAGTGCAGCATTCGAGATGACAAGGTGGGCCGGGAAAAGAAGATCGGAAGGTCGCGACTTGGAAAGAAGAAGTTGCAGGAAATCGGCCGGAGGGCAGGTGGGACCAGCTCCGAAGCGAGCTAGAACAGTCTAGGTCCGAAGACCGCGGAGAGGGACCGAATGTATATCTGGGGGGGAGGAAGAATAAGAGGAGGGAGGGGAAGGTGGAAAAGGGAGGGAGAGAGAGAATTGTTGAAGGGAAAGAAGGGAAGGAAAGGCGGGCGCGAGTACAGTACAAGGAGGCAAGCTGGTAGGCAGGGGCGAGGGAGAAGAGATGGGAGATAGGAAAGGTGAGCTGGTGGTCAAGGGATGCACCGTTCAAGAAGAACTGGAGAGACGGTCAGATCAGTCAGTCAGTCCCTCATTTGACGGGGTCTGGACTGTCTGTCTGTCTGGTTGGGGAAGAAGGAGAAGACGACGAGACTCGCGACCGGAGGAGGAAGAGGAGGATAAGAGAAAAAGCAAGAAAGAGAGAGACAACAGTGCCAGACACTATAGCTAGCTAACTCGCAGAAAGTACTGGACAGTTACATACAGCAGTTGAATGCTGAACGCCTACAATAGAAAAAAGGAAGGAGCATGTCTTTCGCGGCGACGACTGCGGGGAAGGCTCTCTCCCTCTCCGGGGCAGTGAAATTTGGGCCTTTGCGCGTGACCTCGCCGGGTGACTAAGAGTAACTCCGCCTGTTTAGTAGCTTCGTCGAACAAAACAGACATAACATGATCACTTACTTATTCTAGCATTACCAAACTTCTCTATCCTCGTCACCACCACAACTGGGTATCTCATCGCACCCCACTGGATTGATCGTATGTTGTTCCCGTACCCAGACTATAATTTTTCTGGGCGCCCGTCACTTTGCTTAGCCCGCACTGCATCCATCTTCCTTCCCCTTTCCCCCCCGCCCCGTGCGCAGGATTCGCGTGGTGGTTTCAACCAACCAACCAAACCGCAACTCCCGGATTACACTACCAAATGACCTCACCCTGTTTCTGATTTCGCCACTGCGATTCACTAACAAAAGTGTCTTTTCCGGTGGGAGTGGTCGTTTTACTCACGAAAGCAATTTTATCGCTCTTTCCGGGCGAATGAAGGTCACCTGAGTAGGTAGCTTGTAGGATGTAAGATGAGATTTCCGTATGGATTGATGGCTTGTAATCAAAATAGTATATTCGGATGATTGTTCATTAAACCGCGGACTCGCGCGGGAGTTTAGAGAAAGAAAAAAAAAAGGGACAAGGTATGTACAAAATGGCCATGCTGCGGGAGGGATAGGAGAGAAGTGTCTAGGAGTCAGTTCTCACATGCCCTCGCAGCATGGGGAGTAAAGTACAAAAAGGTGGTCAATAGAGACAGAAGTGAAGAGGAATAGATCACACAAAACAGGGAGCAGACATGATCGACGAATGTCGACGGGATTGAATAATGAACAGTGGACGATGCGCTTTATGCAGGGCATGAAAAGTATGAGAATGGAAGGATAGACACTCTTCCGATCAAGGAAGGATTAACATACGGGGAGACAATCAATGGCAATGGCAGCAACAACACAAAATGACTTTAACAAACATCATGAACGGCGGAAAAAAGCAGATCAGAATTAGTAAGTCGGGCCCGGGGGTATATGGTACTGTAGTAGTAGGTCTTTTTTCTTTTCAGCTGTTGAGTCCCAAGAACGCCGTGCTGTGAGGCTAGGTGAAATCAGAGATCACGGATTATCGAAGCAACAAGGTCGAGATGATGGGCTTTATGTCGTTGTTTTTTCTTTTCTTTTCTGTTCGTTCTTTTGATGCAGGCGTAAAAACAAGGCTGGTCGTATAGGAATACATACATACGGGCAAAAGAGCAGCCACCTCATATTGTGGGAGCAGCGGGGTTGGGCTGCTTGATCGAGTTAAACAAATACTCCGGAGGGAGTCTCCGCATGTTGGACGGTCGATCAGTTCCCACCGCCTGAGGAGCCCGCATGTAGCCCTGGCGACGGCGCTGGATTTTGTTAAAGATGACACCGCAGATAACAATTAGGAAGACGCAGCCGAGTGCCAGGCAGAAAGAGATGAGCACGACAATGCCGTTGGAGAGGTGTTTGCCTGTTTCTATGGTTAGCTTTCTTTATAAACATCATGGGTCAAGTCATACGCACCTCCGCTGGTGAACGGGTTCTTGTTTTCGAAGAACACCTGAGACATGCTGCCTGCTTCGCCGTTGGACTTGGTGGACAAGATGAAAGGTTTCACGGCGGTTCCATTAAAGATGGCAGCCGAGGCATTGCCGAAATCCGGGATTACCAGATGGCCGGTGACGAGGAGGGCTTGATCGTTATTCAGAGTGCTAACAGCATCGTGGTTCTTGGAAAGCGGAAGTATCTCGAGACCACGGATGGTAGTCCCCTTGTCGAATACGTTGCGCACGAACTGGAAGCCGGACCCGTCGTGGGCGGCCAAGTAATTGGATCCGTTGTTGTAGGTACCACCAAGCCAGAACTTGGACACTGCGCTGTTGGCTGGAGTAAATGCTGTCACAGTTCCGGGAATCTCAGACGAAGATGCACCCGGGAAGGCAGTCCAGCTCTGCCCCTTAGGCTTGTAAGTTGCGACCAAAGACTGGTTTCCGTTGATGCTCAAGTTGCCAACCGCCAGTAGCTGCTTACTGTTGAGCCATTCGAGAGCCAGGACTGTTCCATCCAAGCTTGCACCAGGTCGATTCCATTGCTGGTTAGAAGTGTCCCAGAAACAAACACCGGGGCAGGGAAGAGCACCCGCAGTCTGGAACTGTCCTCCGAAGTAGATTTCGTCGGCGCTCGGACGCGCAGCGATTGCATTGACTGAAACACCATGGCCAGTGAGCCGTGGTGGTTGGTTTCTGACGAGGGTGTCGTTGTTGAGGTTATACAAGACAAATCCGTTCAACTTCGAATCGCCTACTTTCCCAGTGATATTGCCACCCGCATAGAGGACGTCGTCGGAGATTGCGAAGGTCAAGAAGGTAGAGTTACTGTCGACACCTAATCCGAGACCCTTGATGCTGCCATCACGGCCGTCAAGAATCGCAAAGTTCTCAATCACGGATCCGTTAGTAGCGTTAGTGGAGAAGTGACCTCCCAAAATAGTGCGATTTCGACTAGAGCCTGTGTCGAAGATTCCCGTATAAGTTTCGCCATTTGTGTTGTGATCGGTCAGCAGAGCTTCCAGGCCGAGATCTTTGTCATAGAGCAAGGCTACAGCACCTGCAGCAGCAATGCCACCACTGGAAAGGCTACCCGCAAGAATCGTGGTGTTGTCGACCTTGGCGTAAGCGGACAGTTGGCCAGCAAACTCCAGCTGGCTGACATTTAGATTCGGCAACCAATTCTTGCGTGATGGAACCCACACAGCAAAACCAGAAACATTGGTTGAAGACGTCTGCTCAAAGCCAAGCAATTGATCGAAATCACCGCTGACGCCAACAATAGTTTCGTTCAGGTCGGCAGAAATGTTCAGCGAAAGAGCAATGACGCTGTCAACTCTACCATTGACGCCCCCTCCAAGGGCAGACCATGTTTTCGTATCGAAAGAATAGGCCGCCACATGGCTCAGGCCGTCATTTCCCCCATCTGACGTATCCGTAAAGTTTCCGCCAACGTAGAGGAAATCGTTTAGCACCGTCATGGTGTTGACTCCGGAATTCAAACCGCCCTTGGGCATTGCCGTCGCGTTTCCGTCCTGTTCGATGTACATGATATTGTTGATGTAGGAGTTCGAAAAGTTTCCTCCGACGTAAATAATACTGCCATGGTTGGCCAAACTCGTGATTGATGCTTCCGAGTCCAGAACAAGACCTGCTTGGTCAATAACCGACTCGGAAACGTTCGTGCTCTGCTTGGTAGTCGGGTCGTATTCGTACAATCCGTTTAGTTGATCGTCCGAGATGCCTGACACGGAGATTGCGACAAATTGAACTCGAGATGCCACTATAGTGACATCGCCTTGATTTGCCACAGGGGTGAGCTTCACACGGGGACGAAACGAGCTATCGCTTGCGTCCACATGGCCAGTGTAGATTGTATCATATTTTTCGTATTCATTTGTCTGGTAGATAAGAGTTTGAACAGGTTCTGACGAATCGCTTGTGGCAGTGACCGTCACGTTGACAATACCACGGGAATCGCAAGTATCATCTTGATCACACCCAGGAGTAAACAATTTGATGGAGTAATTGCCTGAGTGTTTGACGTCAGGCTCGAACACAACTGAAGCATCAGTCGTATTTGAGTTGGTGACCTGGGCCGTCAAATAGGCCGAAGAACTTTGACCGGACGCTGTCGCAGACCAGGACCCGGTACGGGTGGATTTAGATGGATAGCTGGAATTGGCGCATGTCGGCTCGTTAAAAGCGTCGATTGCATAAGCAAAGATATCTTCGACAATTAGTAACCTCGTAGCACCATAGGTCTGGGTTCTCACTCACTGTCTTCAAGGAGTTCAATGCCATTCAAGCCAGCACCCTTGCCATACCATCCCAGAATCTCGATCTCAAAACCACTCATTGCTGCGTGATTGACAAACGTGAATTCTCGATATTTCTCAGTTGCGTTGTCCGAAAGTGAGCAGCTCTGATCGCAATAAACAGGATTGCCAGTATCGGGATCCGTGTACGTCAAGTTCATAATTCCGTTGTCGGGCAAGCGTCTGAACAAGAAGGATTTCGTGCCTCTTCCCTCATAATGTGTGTTATACAGCCTCAGCTTGGTAGGCGTATACTGAAATTGCATATCGACGCGCCAGTAACCAGGCGAATAATCCTCCAATAGCCATGTCTTCCCCGTGCCGTCCTCGCCACTTGATTGACAAATGATATTGCGGGGATCGACGAAACCACTGGTCGAAGAATCCGCGTCGGAAGTGATCGTAGCATTCTGAAGGTTGATAACCTGTTCGCCTTTCTTGCTTGACGTCGAGTTGCCAATACCGTCGAAAGAGCCACCAAAGACAATGTGACCATCGCCATCCTTCAGAATCGACGCAACGGGGCCATTGAACCCACCAAAAGTCAGATTAGACCAGCCTTCCGTGCCTACCCAAGCCACGGCGTTTGAGGTATTATAGTAGGTGAAATTTCCTCCAACATATACACTATTGGTTTCCTGATCGCACAGCAAGGCGGAGACGGATCCTGAAAGGCCGGGTAACGACTTGACTTGATTCGTAGATGGATGATATAATGCGACACCCTCTGTTTCGACGCCGCCCAAGCTCGTAAAGTTGCCCCCCACAAAGATTCCCGAGAACGTTCCATCCTTTTGCGTGAACGGGCACATCGCGCGAATGTCCGCATTGGATGTCGACAAGGTCGTAAGGATTCCGTTGGGGAGAGGAGTCAGGAGCGTTTGCGCGTCATTGTCGCCGGTCGATGTGTTAGTCTGCGCGGTGTATTGGTAGAAGGTAACTGCGTCGAAGTCTCCGGTGAGCGCAATATGGCCCAATGGCGAGAGGTCCAAATCCGGTTCAGACACGGATTGAAAAGTCAACGCCGATGCGAGACTAGAAAGGAGAAAGGGCGAGAGGCGGAGGCCTGCTGCGAAGCCGGCCGTCGCAGGCCCAAACAGTGAGGATCCCCTCATTGTTCGGGTTCGCGACGACAGGCGAGAGGTGAAAGCAACTCTCTTGGGGGGAAGGACGGTGGTGAAATGAAGGGATTCGGTCTGGCGAAATCAACGTGCTCTAGGACGAGTCGTAAAGACTGAAATTGTGAAAAATAAAACAACAGCGTGTGTAAGAGGAAGCCGAGCGAGCTAACGGGTACGGCAAACACGCGGGACAGAAAAAGGAGTGGAAGGACAGACCGAATCAGCAGAACATGTAAAGAATGATAAGGGGAGTCACAAAAACGAATGTGTTCTATAGCCAAGAGGCCGTATGGGACTATGAGTGGTCGGATCTAAAGGGATCAACGAATGAGTGGTAAAAGTTGGATGGACCGAAAGAGTGACATGGCAACCAGGCTGGCTGGCAAGCAGGTAGAGTGAGAGGCGTGGTGTGGGCAGGGGAGAGAGAGGGGGCTATGATTGTTTGCTCAAGGCTGTGCGGCCGGCCTTTCGATGGTTTTCAGGTACCATTCATTTAGTCTCTCTTTCTCTCGCCCGGTCTGGTTCCACGTTTGGCTGACTCGCCAATAAGCCACTGGAATGAAAACCGGGAGCTGCTATGTTTGGTTTGGTGGCCCACTTCCGGTGGGGGTGCAACTGGAACTGTTTCTCGACTTTCTCACTAGACTAACCGTATCTACAAGATGCAATCACCACTGTTTCTTCTTCCAGAGTCGTTTCAACACCACTCTTGATGGCTTACAGAATTGAAGAGGTGGCAGGCGCGCTTCCAATTTTCACTGACCTTCTTTGGATGAGGCACCTTGCGGCACAAAAACAATGATGTATGCATGCCATGCCTATTATTAGGAGATCTTCGCTTATAATCCCAACAGCTCATTACCCAAGGGGCCAACAAGAAGACCTTCTGGTTTACTGTGCGTTCAGCATCTGAAGCAATTGCATCGACTTTTTCAAAGGAAATTTTTACTGGCGGTGAAGTACTTATGCAATCAGCATTGACGGCTACAGAAGGCCACCTTAAATCCACACCGCATGCTGCTGCATACTTGAACGTACGGCATACAGGACACATCTACAGCCACATCATCTTTATTTCGATCCTCCTCATGGCTGTTACAGAACGCGACATGCTTCGGCCATCTTTGGCGAGCTACCAGTAGTTGTTCTCGACCCAGCTTTCCAAGACTAAGTTGTTACAGAGAGCTTCCAAACACCCGCCACCCTAACCCCATGCTTCAAGTCTGGTTTGAGAATTACGCGAGGAGCTTCGAGCTAAGATAAGGTGGCCGGCTAGCTCTACCGTGCTCATCCCGTACCGATTGCAGATTGGATAGTTCCAAGGTCTATTGTAGGTAATCTTCAATGGTGCTCATGCCATGAAACATGATCGGACTTACATGAACCGTCCACCTCTTCGACTTTCTCGTCCCACGTAAACTCAATACATGGTGTTATATTCTCTTTTGTATCTTCTTCTCAAGGTTTAAAAGCTTATGGCGATCGCGGCCCCAGTGCTTCCGCTGTAGTGTGTGGTAAGAGCTTCACATAACTGCTACCGTTGCTACTCTAATCACGAAGGCAATTGCTCTTGTCCAAAATCAGTTTTTAAAGCTCTGAATCATTGTGTTGTCACAAATCACACCCGCGATCACATTGACTCCCAGCCTCTTCATCCTAGCATAGCTCGATGGAGCCTCGTACTCCCTGACATCGTCCCCGTGCTTCATCAATATTGTTTTTAATCAGTCATACTCCACTTAGTCCAGGACTATTGGCTCATAATCTCACACCTAGCTACAGTGCGGTCGTTGGGAATCGGGTCGACCGCCGCAGTTAGTATGCTGCATTACACGAGCTCACGATCTATGGTAGGACGGTTGTCGGCTTTGATGACTTCTGGAAATGACCGAAGTCTGGCACCAGATAGCTTGCTGGTATATGCTAAATAGGGTTCGTCTATATGACTTGGAATGGTCGTTGCTGCTGCATAGCAGACTTCAAAATGTATGGATTTGCAAGAACATGGCAAAGAGTTCCCGGTAGTCGGGTCAAAATCAGTCTATATACTTCAAGTTCCAAGCATAAGTTATGGTTACCGCATGTTCCAGGTCTCTTCTATGACCGCAGAAACATGTGCCGTCTATCTCCATGCAAGAATCGTCGACGCTTCAATTTATCTGGTCAATGACAGACATCTCCTTGTGTCTGGACCATGTAGCTTTAGTACTGTAAGTCTAGATCGAGTGATTGGAAATGTCCTGCTGCCTAAGGCATCACTGCGGCGCTAGTCTCTTTTCTGCCGAATTGGCGCCAAGATCCCCTGGCGCAGTGAGAAAGTGACGAACCACGCCCGCCGGCGCGCAACGCGACCTGAAAAAAGGATATCGGAACACTTTATCGGGAACACTTTCCATCGCTAGTTGCTGGACCAGACACCTTTGCTGCTGCACTTCTCACGTATTGCATTGCCTCCTTTGACTATCTCTTCCTTATCATTTGATCAAATCAATACTTTCATTGCCCATCACCTAAGGCTCCTCCACCATGTGAGACCCTTCCCCCAGTTGCTGTCACTCGCCCATCACATTAACGTCGCTACTAGGGAGAGCTTTGACAACATCTACCTCGACCTCTCTAAACAGCACGGAAAGTGCAAACTCGCAGAGTCCGGCCTGGGATGGAAGCCCTCAGGGGGAGGCGAAACCTTTACTCTCGACAGCAGCAACATCGGCGCAGCCCAGTGGAGCCGTGCGGCGAGGGGATATGAGCTGAAAATCCTGTCGCGCTCCTCCGGAGTCATTCAGCTGGATGGATTCGACCAAGAGGTATGTTCCAGCATCCATAATTACCCCACCTTCTCCTACACCTTGAAATTCTAACCTCCAAACTCTACCACGCTAGGACTTCGAGCGCGTGAGCAAGGCGTTCAGAATCTGGTATGGAATCAACTTGGATAACAGAGAACATGCGCTTCGGGGTTGGAATTGGGGCAAGGCAGAATTCACGAAAGCAGAGCTCTCCTTCAATGTCCAGAACCGGCCGGCCTTCGAGATCCCTTACTCCGAGATTTCCAACACGAATCTGGCTGGAAAGAACGAGGTCGCCGTGGAATTCGCGCTCGGCGGCGATGGAAATGCGCCCGCACAGCCCTCTGGCAGCACCAAGAGCCGCGGTCGGAAAGCCGCCGCGGGTCCGGACGAGCTGGTTGAGATGCGGTTCTACATCCCCGGCACGGCTGTGAAGACGGAGAAGGGCATCAAGGAGGAGAATGCGGACGACGAGAATGGGGAGGGCGAGCAAGAAGAGGGCGAAGAGCAAAATGCTGCGAACTTGTTCTACGAGACACTCATGGAGAAGGCCGAGATTGGAGACGTGGCGGGCGACACTTTTGCTACTTTCTTGGATGTTCTTCACCTGACGCCCAGGTATGTGCCGTCACCCGTGAGGAAGTATCTGAGCGTGCGATTGACCAAGCTTGCAGAGGTCGTTTCGATATCGACATGTACGAGGCGTCGTTCCGTTTGCGCGGTAAGACCTACGACTACAAGATCCAATACGCATCTATCAAGAAGTTCTTCTTGCTTCCGAAGAACGACGATACCCACACATTGATTGTTTTGGGTCTGGAACCCCCACTACGACAAGGCCAGACTCGCTATCCTTTCTTGGTTATGCAGTTGAAGCTTGATGAGGAGATTAGTCTGGAGCTCAACATGACAGAGTGGGTTTTTCTCTGGAGTATATGCTAGTAACGATTTTCTAACCCATTTTCTAGTGAACTCATGGAGACGCGCTACAAGGACAAGTTGGAACCCCGTTACGAGGAACCCATCCACCAAGTGGTCACGAAGATCTTCCGTGGACTCTCCGGCAAGAAGGTTATTACGCCGTCGAAGGATTTCATCAGGTCGGTTGCCCACTCGGCAAACCCCGAATTATCATGGTTACTGATCCATCGCATAGTCACCATGGCCACAGCGGCGTCAAGTGTTCGATCAAGGCCAACGAAGGTCTTCTGTATTTCTTGGATAAGAGTTTGATCTTCGTTCCCAAGCCGGCTACGTACATTCAACTCGAGAATGTTGCAGTGGTCACTATGTCTCGCGTTGGCGGTGCCATCTCGGCCAGCAGAACGTTTGATATCACAGTCAGCTTGAAGGCCGGTCTGGGCGAGCATCAATTCAGCAACATCAATCGGTAGGCGCCTTATAGTCGCGATTCATTGAATGGTAACTAAACGTTTCTCTCAGTGAGGAGCAACAACCCCTCGAAGAGTTCTTCAAGGCGAAGAACATCCGACTCAAAAACGAAATGTCCGATGACGTACGTGTTGCTTGAGATATTCCGTCCTATTTCAGTCCGACCGCCATTGACTGACATGCCTTATTAGACTTCTGCTCTTATCGCGGCCGCTCTTGATAACGACGATATGGCCTCGAGCGACGACGATGCCGTTCGCCCTGACCGTGGCTCGGCCGACGAGGATGAGGAATCTATTGACGAGGACTTCCAGGCTGAGTCCGACTCGGATGTCGCAGAAGAGTATGATTCTGCGCACGAGAGCAGCGGCAGCGACAGTGATGCCCAGATGGACGATGCATCCGACGGTGGGGACGATGATGAGGATGTAGAGATGTCAGACGGCGGACGGCCGAAGAAGAAGTCGAAGGTTGGCAAATAAGCCATCAGACCGCCTTACCTCGCCGGCACATGCCAACATGATACTTCGCCCATAATGAATACGAAACTCGAGTAACGGTTAGCACTGTGCTACTTGTTTTCTTCCACTGTAATGCGACGCCGAAAGGACTGTATTGCTGCTTCGCAAATGTCAAAAGTGTAGGTATACTGTGTGGTGTGTGCTGTGAATTTTAAACAACTACAATTCGTGTCGGCGGACTATTCCAGAGAGACACAGCTATTTGGACAGGATGCTTCCAGAAATCCGATGTATCATATTGCTCTACTTGATTTAACTTTGCTATTGACAGCACTATTGAGGGTCCTCCGTTGCAGGTGCATATAGCGTGTGTAAATATCGTTTGGATGATCTATATAGTGGTTTTTATGATCTCATCTGGAACACACTGCGTGTGGAGGCAATTCCTACCTAGGTGGAAATTCCGAGCCTTTCCCATTGTACTCCGTAATGTACTTGCAGAGAGGCCCCTCGTGCGCTTACACTTGACCTTCTCGCTCGCATGGAGAGTAATGTCATTCGCACCGCCTTAGCCCTGTGTCTCAGTCACAATCATAAGATAAGGACTATCTGCTCATCTCCACCTACCATTTCTGATTCGGTGCGCGGACCGAAGAGTGGCTTGATTTTCCTGGGGATGGTATGGACCTTGTTGGATCAAGATAGAGGTAAGTCCCGTCTAACACGGAAGCGAATCTCCTATATGCTTCCAGATTTAGACAATCCCATTGCCGTATTAATGCAACGAATAAGTCCGAATTCGACGCCTCAACTTGCAAAGCACAAAACACCCATCCGATTGAGGCTGGGCGACGTACAAGGAAACCGGGAGGGAGGGGCAAAGTGAGCGTTTGCTTCCGAAAGCACCCTTGCTGTGTAATGCCACGGTGGCGTGCATTTCATTTTCGTAGAAAATTTTCTCTTCTAGACTACCGTATGCATGTTTATCGCAGAAGCATCATGCATATTTTTTAAATGCTTTCCATATATAGATCACCCACCGCCACTAGGCTAGCCGGTAGGGACTCTCCCGTTTGGAACGGTTTATTGCGTTCAAGCTTCTGATTCTCTCTCTCGGTTGTGGTGCGCGTTCCCATCGTTCGAAATCCTGAGGATTTTCGATCGTCTATTGTACATAGATATACCGATCGTCCACAATCAATACCGCAAACACTTTAATGGTTTCGATTTGGAACAGCTTTACCGGGTGTATTCCAGTTCGCAACCATGTCCATGCCATGGTGTGACGCTTGCCGTCTTCCCCCCGGACCGTTAGCGGTCAGTAAATGATTGGCAAGTAAACAGCGCTTGGCTCTTTATTCTTTTAGGCCTATGCAACCACTTCTTCAATTTACGGTTCTTCGGGTTTTTCCGTTCCACGGCTGCTTTTCTTCCCCCCTAATGTCCGCCGCCCACCCGCTCTGTACCGAAGTAGTAATGCGGGTACGCGTCAGAGAGGAACATGTGCGTTTGCCCAAGTTGAATTGCATGCTGTGAGGGATTGTGTCTCAGTATCATCTTCTTCTCCCCGAAACAACCTACCTGCGGTGTACCGGTCCTGTCGAACCTACAGGATATACGTAGCAGTGTGTCAGTATGAACAACGATTGCGAAAGGTGGTTGTAAAGTAGGTATGGGAAGGATGATCAGCACCGCGTATATCTCACCATCCCCCCTTATCACACCATGAGCCGGCGGCATAGAGAAGAGAGAAAGCAAACTTGATGCAAAAGAGAGGTTTGCTGCCATCAATGGTTTTTCTGCGTTGACCAATCTCGGGTGATGCACAGTGCTTATAGTATGGCACGGGTGGAGGAGATGTGGTTCAGCCTTTTCAAGCTCCCAGACCACTCACTCATCGACAGTACATGTGGAATAATGGGATGGTTCCAGGTTTCCCCACGATCTGTCCCTTGGTAAGTGTGGTATATATAGTATCCTGGGGTAAATCGCTTGGTTCTGGTTTCTACTAGGCTAGCCATGCCTCGGTGGTAAGGGAGACCATATTTTATTTGACAGGTCTCGTGGGAATGGGGAGTGGTAAATTGCTTCTTCACCAAAGTCCAATGCTGCTGAAGGTGAGTGGATGGAACCAGGGGAGGACGGTTCGACGGGGTTGAGGAAAGACAAGAAAGACCCTGTCTCCATGGTAGCCTCCAATTGTGCTCCGATAAGGAGAGATCGCCCCAAGAAAAATCAACTTGAATAGTTATCCGGCAGTTGAAGTCTATCTTGATCTGATTTCAAGTGCAATGGAGCAATTGAAGCGGCCGACCTAATTCAATTAGAGAGAAGGATTAGCGGCCGAGTAATGAGTGTAGTTGTGTAGTTGAACCATAAGACTAGAAACAAAGAGCCCCCCTTTCTTTCCACTTTCCACTTTACTACTACTGGACTCGGGCAGGGCCACCAAACAGTCTGGCTCCAACGACTGAGTGCCAGTCTTTCCACCCCCCTCTCCCCCCAAGCCATCAATCAATCAATCAACTCCGCAAGACCCAATCGCTCTCTCTCTCTCTCGCTCACTCGCTCCTCTCTCTGTCCTCCTACTCCTACTCCTCCTCCTCCTCTTCTTCCCCTGTCTTTCTAGTAAGTACAGTATTCTCTTCCCTCTTTCCACCTACGTTTTCTTTTTCCTTCATCTGCCTCTCAATTTTTGTTTTGGAATTTCATTTCAGTCGAATTTTGCTTGCGCATTGCTTGCTTTCCCCTTGGTTTCGGCCCATCCCTTTTACTCCCTCACCTTCCTCACCCCCCGTGATTGTCTGAATCTCAACCCTTTCCACATCGAAGTCAACTCTCCAGGTATGAATAGCAACACCCTTCTTGGGACCACCTTCCCTTCTCTCCATTTGTATTTCCGCAACCCAAACTCGGAAGTGACACTGTCATCCCATCTCGTCGGCTTCCCATTATTACCTCCGGACCCTTCCCCTTGATTGCAACCCTGCAAGGACTCTATCGCTAACCAAGAAGGTGCTACCTACTCAGGGGAAACTTCCTCATCGACGTTCGCTACCTCCCTTCTACGCTCGCTTCAAAATCTCACACCTTTAAACTTCCACAATGGGTAAGCTTGTCATCCATGACACCTTTTCCCACCACCCTGCAGTACCGTGCTCTCTCATGCCACTCGATTTCCACCCGATCTCCAATTCCAACCCTTGCCCTGTGTCTATCGCGGGCTGCTCGCGCCTTGTGAACAAGAACAATGCCTCCGGCCAGGAACCGGAGTGCGGATGGTCGCTCGCAAGGGGACTCCGAAACTCTGGCACCCTCGCCTCAGAAGAATTCACCGAAGCCTAAACGTCACTCGTTCTCGCCTGCCCTGGGACGCCTGTCTTCCGAAAGTGACAGTCAAGACTCTGAAGCGACCACAGCTAACTCTGTTCCGCACAATGTAGCTACACCACCTCCTGCACCTGCTGCCAATGGCAGCCCGGTCTCTGCCTCTCCTCCCAGCAGCAAGCCCAGCTCGCCTTTCGTTGAACGCAGTAACCCCATGGGCTCGGGAGCCGCCCAGACCGTCAGCTCCAAGGACCCCAAGGCTGCTGCCCAGGCTGCTACGGATATGAAGAATGTCGTTCGCCGGAAGTTGACGGGCTATGTTGGTTTCGCCAACCTGCCGAACCAATGGCACCGCAAGAGTGTTCGCAAGGGCTTCAACTTCAACGTGATGGTTGTTGGTACGTCATGATCCTGGCCCACGATGGTCAGGCTATCGGTTGACATGAAATCGCAGGTGAATCTGGACTCGGAAAGTCGACTCTAGTGAACACTCTCTTCAATACCTCCCTCTACCCCCCTAAGGAGCGCACCGGACCTAGCCACGATATCATCCCTAAGACCGTCTCCATCCAATCTATCAGCGCCGATATTGAGGAGAACGGCGTCCGCCTGCGTCTGACGGTCGTTGATACCCCCGGATTCGGTGATTTCGTGAACAACGATGACTCGTGGCGCCCTATTGTCGAGAACATCGAGCAGAGATATGATGCCTACCTTGAGGCCGAGAACAAGGTCAACCGTACCAACATCATCGATAACCGTATCCACGCCTGTGTTTACTTCATTCAACCCACCGGTCACTCGTTGAAGCCCCTGGATATCGAAGTTATGCGCAGACTGCACAACAAGGTCAACCTGATCCCTGTGATCGCCAAGGCCGACACCTTGACCGATGAGGAGATCGCCGCCTTCAAGCAGAGAGTACGCTGACTTCTAAGCCTTCTCCCTGCTAATCAATGACTAACCTGGATTTTCAGATTCTCGCCGATATCCAGCACCACTCTATCCAGATTTTCGAAGGCCCCCGCTACGAGCTCGACGACGAGGAGACCATTGCTGAGAACCAGGAGATCATGTCCAAGGTTCCTTTCGCCGTGGTTGGTGCCAACGCCGAGGTCACCGCTGCCGACGGCCGCAAGGTCCGTGGACGTAGCTACCCCTGGGGTGTCATTGAGGTCGACAACGAGGAGCACTGCGATTTCGTCAAGCTCCGCCAGATGTTGATCCGTACGCACATGGAAGAGCTCAAGGAGCACACGAACAACAGCCTGTACGAGAACTACCGTTCCGACAAGCTCACTCAAATGGGTGTCGCCCAGGACCCGAGCGTGTTCAAGGAGGTCAACCCGGCTGTGAAGCAGGAGGAGGAGCGTGCTCTCCACGAGCAGAAGCTCGCCAAGATGGAGGCGGAAATGAAGATGGTCTTCCAGCAGAAGGTGGCAGAGAAGGAGAGCAAGCTGAAACAGAGCGAAGACGAACTATACGCACGACATCGCGAAATGAAAGATCAATTGGAACGCCAACGCCTGGAGCTAGAAGAGAAGAAGGGTCGTCTGGAAACCGGGCGGCCCATCGAAGAGAAGGGAAAGAGGAAGGGATTCTCTCTTCGTTAATTGAACGCTCGCATGACCGATGCTCCGATGCTCCGATCCAGTGGCTCTCCCAATGGGCCACCCAGGGTACGCATGGTCGTCCGAGGGCACTCTGGTGGTTTAACGCATACCTCTCCACGACTTGTCGACTGGCCGCACGCTCCTTTCCGCCGCCTGCCTTCTTTCTCTTGTGTTTATTTGTTCTCTCTCCCCCACGCTCTCTCGAACCTCTACTTTTTCTCGTATCTGCTTTCAGTGATGACTCTACTTTGATTGGGAGGACCGAAGAAAAAGAATGTCTCGTCTTCTTTTCTCTCCTCAACCCATTTAATACCGAATTGGGGTTTGACTAGGAGACAGGAACACAAGGGTTATGTCCGCCTCGGTGCTCTATTTGGATGGTCAGTGGTCTTGGTCCTGGATGGATGAGATCACGCACGGGGAGACGGCCAACAGGAATACATCAAGGTCGGAATTCACTGCTTCATGTCCACTCTTCGCTTCTTGTTATGTACTTTTGCCTACGCTATACCTTGTTCCCGCCTATTTCCTATTCCCCACCCCTTTCGTGGCCTGGTACTACTATTACTTCTATTTATCTTCGGTACACTTTTGCCTCTTCTACACATTTTAGTGAGATCGCCAACCCTCGACCATCTTTTCTGGACGTTTTTCCTTTATCTTTTATTCCTCCCCGAGTTGTTTTTGTCGTGTTAGTTGTCAATCTGAAGTTTTCTCGAAAAGCGAACGGAAGTATCACCGAGGTTCTAATTGCGGCGTAGCTGCCTGGAAATGACGATAAGATACAAGAATAGGGAAAGAGAATAATAACATAATTTCCAAGATAATGACTGATATCACTAATAACAAAGAACCAAGAATCAATCGATTCCGAGAAAACAAAGAGAGTAAAAAACCAGGTAAGTATTTGTTTGGGGGGGGGGGGGGGGGGCCCAAATCATGATGTCGACAAGCTTTCGGCGCTGGTGTTTGTTGCATCATTGCGGGCGGCGCGACGTCACGGGGAAGGGAAGCTCCGTCGAGCCGCCAGTTCGTTCGATGTCCTCGGGCGCTGTGCAGGCCTGGACTGGGAAACAGTCAGTCTTACCCAGTTGAGTTGAGCTCAGTCACTTCCAGTTCGACACTCCGACACACACACAAACCCGCCTCTTCCACTTCCCTTTCTCTGCTGCTGCTCCCCCCCCGCCCAGCCCAGCCAGCCAGCCTCCCTCGTCAGTGTTTTAGTGGAGATCTATTCATAGCCTCCCCCCGTCACCTTTTTACCGCTCAATTCTTCTTATCTGTCTCATTCCTCCCCCAGGTTCTTTCCTGCGTCTATTTCCAAAGCTGCTCGATCTCGTCGAGTTGTCCACAAACCCTTCGTCCTCACCCGCCAAACACAACAGGTACCCTTTCTTTCCCCATGGCTCCTCCACCTCCTTCAAACTTGCCCTTGCCTGAGAGGCTTAAGGCTCTGGCCCAGACGTTGCAGTAAGTTCTTCGCTTCGCACCTTTACTCGATCGCGTCACAATCTAATCAAGTCGTTCGCAATTAGATTCGCCTGGTTTGTTGGGTACGTTCATCTTCCGCCTGCAACACCCTGACCTCCCACAATCGGCTGCAATTGAAGTTGACAAAACAAGTCTGCTTTGCGGCATCTTCCCCATTTGCATTTGGATCATGAGATTGACCGCACTCACTGATCGGACGATAGACATGTGACATTGTTACTCTCCGTCCTACGCTATTGCTTGTCTTACATCACATTCAACTATTACTCAAAATCGGCTCAAGCGTCTTACCGTCTGGCATTCTTGTCGGCCGCTGCGACGTACGGTATCGTTGTGTACAAGGGTCATATCGCTCGCGGTCGCCTCCAGGGCAGTGTCCCTAGCATTGCGGTTAAGCTTGCTGGTGATGAAAATGTTCAATATTTGGGTGAGTATGACCGTTCTCCATCACCAAAAACGGATGAGCATCCAACGCGGTGCGGACGTGGGGGTGCAAGCTAACCATTTCATCAGGCATGGCGTTGGTGTGGCTCTATTCGCGCCAGGTGTCGCTCGCTCTGCTCCCCTTCAGTGTTTACTCTATCTTCCACGTTGCGACTTACACCCGTGCCCACCTGATTCCCACCCTCCAGGGCCCTCAGGCTGCTGGCGCTCCTGGATCACCCAGCTCCCCTAGCTCGCCCAAGCCTGCCCCCAGACAGTCTCCCTTGGCGGAGACCATTGGCCGGTTTGTGAAACAATACTACGATGCCAGCATGGATCTTGTGGCGCACCTTGAGATGGCACTTTTGTTCCGCCTGGCTGTGGCGGTTCTCACTTTCTCCAAGGGAAGCATTGTTCTTTTCGCTGTCTACCTGGCCTTCTTCCGTGCAAGATACTCTCAGAGTACCTTCGTCCAGGGTTCTGTCCGCCACTTCACCGCCAGAGTTGATGCCTCGGTTTCCCACCAGAGCACCCCGCCTGCTGTTCGTCAGGGATGGGAATCCTTCAAGGGCGGTGTGCGCCAAGCCTACGAGGCTACTGATCTCGGCCGCTTGAGTGGAGCGGCCGGCAAGAAGCCCCAATAAACGCCAGCTCGCATAAAATAGAGACGACTTCAGGATGTTGGATAGATGTGATCAAAGTGAACCCTGTGGCCAGGTTGTATCTGGGAGGGACTGTCTGCTCCGAGTGTCGGCTATTGTGTCAGATGATTATCGAATGAGCCAACGACCATTTACTTTGACAGCGTTCTGAGGTTGATGGTCGTTTCTGTGAAATGGAAGACTGCGGATAGTCTTGGAGGTGCGGAACGGTGGAAAATGGAAGGTTATGTAGCTTCATGGTGTGGAGAAGCCTGGATGATTTTGTACCTCGTTAGCATGACAGCAAGCGGTGAGGTTTTATGCGCAATGTCTAGTGCTTTTGCTTTAGTTGAATGCGTCTTTTTCCTTATATTAGCTTTTTGTCTTGCAGTGCGATAGTAATGCGATGAGCTTTGCCATTCTGGGAATTTTCCAAACATTTTGCCGCTCTTACGGAGCTCGGGCCTCATAGCGTTGTATCCTGCAAGCTTTATTGCTGTAATTGGCGCATCCATTTCAGCACTGCAACAGACCGGGAAAAGTGCCAAACTCCTAGTACATGATCACCAATTAGAAATGCCTCCGGTCGATTCGCGACCAGAAGCGCGAGAATTATTAAGATTGCCGGCTGCCTGAGGCGGCGACCCGGGCCTCGGACAGCGGAGAAAACTCCAAACCGACGATAGGACCGACGAATTTTTGGTGTTTCGGGCAGTTGGGCTTTCGTCACTTTCAAGCTGCGATATCCCCTGCTTATCTGTGCCGGGTCTCCCACTGTCAATTTTTCTCGCATTCTATTGTATCTTCGTTCCTATATATTTCTCTTCTATTCCGCCATCTCCTCGTTGTTCGAGGTGGCGTTCGTCCGTTAATCCAGCGTCGCCGCATCCCAAGCCCCGTGGTCTGGCCCGCACCACGATCCGGTGGGTTGCGGTGTTTCTGCAATGAGCTTGACCTCGCGTGTCTTGGGCTTCTTTGCGACGACAGAGACATCTTCTTCAGACTCGTCCGCGTCAGCCTCCTTTCCTCAAAATGTCCCGGTCGACCTCCGCAAGACGACGCCGATAAGCGCAAACACCGACCATTATGCACAGAATGCACAATCTCACCACGACGAAGAAGAGGAGCCCCGTCCGCCGTACCTACACGTACGTAGTTCACATTCAACTTTCATATTAGCATTGCGCGCGTACTACAGATGGCGCAGACATTATCATCGTCTTGGGATGGTTGGCTGACCCTCGGATTCGGACTTACAGGCAATGTTCGCTGGAGGTATCGGTGGTACTTGCGGTGACATGCTCATGCACTCGTTAGATACGGTCAAGACGCGCCAACAGGGCGATCCGCATTTCCCTCCCAAGTACACCTCCATGACTTCGTCATATGCGACCATCTACCGACAAGAAGGGCTCCTCCGCGGTCTGTATGGCGGAGTGACTCCGGCACTCCTCGGCTCATTCCCCGGCACCGTGATCTTCTTCGGAACCTACGAATACACCAAACGTCTTATGTTGGATTCGGGGATCAATGCGAATGTGGCTTATCTTTCTGGAGGTAAGAGCGCGGTTGCGTGACCTTTCTTGACACTCGTCGCGTTGCCGGTGCTGATTGGAACAATCGCTTCACAGGCTTTTTCGCGGACTTGGCCGCCTCCATCGTCTATGTGCCCTCGGAAGTGTTGAAAACTCGGCTGCAACTCCAGGGTCGCTATAATAACCCTCACTTCAACTCGGGATACAACTACCGCTCGACCACGGATGCGCTGCGCACGATTATTCGCCAGGAAGGATTTCCCGCGCTCTACTACGGATACCGCGCAACCATCTACCGGGACCTGCCCTTTTCCGCCCTGCAATTTGCCTTCTACGAACAGGAGCAACGGTTGGCAAAGGAATGGGTGGGCTCCCGAGACATTGGGCTCGGTCTGGAGATCCTGACCGCTGTTACCGCTGGTGGTATGGCGGGTGTGTTGACATGTCCGATGGATGTTGTCAAGACACGTATTCAGACCCAGCAGAACCCCGAGAGCACACCCCCAAGCCGTCCCTCGGGCGCCTCGCACTCCGCGACAGAGCATTCGTCGACTAAGGAGGGACCGCGCCATCACGCGGCATCGCATGCGACATCGAGCCTGCGCACGCATTCGCGCCCAATCTCCACCTCGGGAGCGTCCACGTCGGTGAACCCGCCTGGGGCTCCCCGTCTGGATACGTCATCGTTCTTCACTGGCTTGAAGATGATCTACCAGACGGAAGGACTGGCAGGCTGGTTCCGTGGCGTTGGGCCTCGTGGTGTGTGGACCAGCATTCAAAGTGGAACGATGCTGGTGATGTACCAATATCTTCTGAAGAAGTTCGACGAGTGGGAGCACCGGGCGGAGATGAAGCCTCTCTGAAGTTAGGATGAGGCGCGGACATGCGCAGTCCGCTGTAGATAGAAGAAGAAGAAGGAACCCAAAGCATATCGACGCATCCTAGACGGGCTTTATTGGGGAGAGGGCGTTCCGGCAGGGTTGTGGCATGACCTTTTTTTTTCACCTTTTCTCTCTCTCTTCTTGTGTGTTCTTTTACCACCCTTTTATTTCTCGTTGTTTTGTAATCCTAGAGCATCTCCCTCCATTTTCCTCCGGTCGCCGCCCTCTTGTGTTTTGGACCCGTTGACTTTTGATGGCATGATTTATTTTATTGCATGAGAGATTGGGAGGATGTTTCTTGTCCTGCCAGATGTGTGTATACAAGATCGAACGAACTACTACATAGACTTACTAGACAACAATTAGACATGGTTCGGTAATTGAAGCAGGGTTCATTGTTTTCATTAACTGTTAGGGATGAGGGATGAGGGGTTTCGAATGAGGGGATGAGGGGATTGAGGGGGAGATTGGCTGAATGAATGAAAATGAATGGGCGATCAACCCCGAGTAGTCAATAGTAATAATGTAAACAAAGCAAAGCCGGATGCGGTCAGGCAGCCCCACGCGACATTGGCTCCAGACCGTCTTCTTGTTTACCTTCACTTACTACTTTCATCTTTCATCTTTCATCTCATTCATCCTGTTGTCTCTTTCTTCTCTCTCTCTCTTCCTCTCTCCTCCACTGCTTCCCCATCTTCATCTCTTCTTCATCCACCTGTCGCGTCTCCCACCGGCTTGGTTAATAAGACTTCCATCCCTCCCCCATTCCAATTCCCCCACCTCCAAAGTATCTTCAGTGCAAACACCCCCCATTGCCCCACCACTTGCTCTCTCCATTTCATTGTCGCATGAACCATCGCAACTTGCGCGCGCGTCGTCATGTCTGCCGGATTGCCTTTTCTGCATAAGCAGCGCAAGCCCACGCTCCTGGAATGGGCTCATATCACCGACCTTCAGGAGTAAGCTTCTTGACTCGCGAAATCTCCCTCTGCGCTCCCACCCGGTGGTCAGATGGCCCCCGGGGGACCTGACCATCTATAGCTATGAGAACATGACCAAGCCCGACCTCGCCACCGCGCTTGATTCGCATCTCCAGCTTAACCAATCTATCTTCGACAATGACCCCCGCCTAGAAGATTATTACCGACGTTTGTCGGGTTCTCCGCGCTTTCTGTCGCCTGCCAAGCATTCGCCTATCAAGACTTCGCCGACGAAGAGAGCGCCCAAGGTCGAGGCCTCCCTGTCGGCAGATGAAGCTCCCAAGTCTACGCGCAAGAGGACCGCCAAGTCCAAGGCGGAGTCTGTGCAAACGTGAGTTTTGATTTGATTTGATTTTCTTATTTTATTGTTTTATTTTTTTGGTTGGTTTGTGCTGGCAAGCGACTCTCCCTGAACTTGCTTGCGACTGCGGCATGCATGGATCTCGTTTGCGCGCGCGCATCGTCAATGTTTACGTCATCGCGAACCTCCGGCTGATCTGCGACCCTCGCTCGCCACCAGGGATGACTCAGATGTTCCTCAGACTCCCGGTCAGATGTTGGTAAGCGTCCAGCCCCCGTTGTCCTCCTTGGCAGCGGCGCTTCCGCCCTCGCCTGCGGTGGTGACTGATGTGATTGATCGCCAAACGGCCGCGTGGAGTAAGAACCTCAAGGAATTGTGGGATGCTTTGGGAGTGCAGGAGCAGTCGGATTCGCTGCGCTCGAGCCTGAGCAGCGTCAAAACGATTGGAGCCTTGCTGTGGGGAATTGAAACTTTCGGTGTCTTGCGGCTGTTGTTCCCTCTGAGACCGTTGGCCCGCGTGCCCGCTGCTGAAGCGGTTTATTTGCCGGCCTTCACGCTCTCGGCTCCTGATGTCTTCGTTCTGGTTGAGAGCACCTTCTGGACTGCTTTTTGCGGGTGGCTTTTCACCAGTTTGATTGTTCCCTTGACAGTCGCATACTTCTTCAACCTCAGCTTGCAGGCGTCTCAAGCCGGTGGGCCGGCGGCTAACACCCGGCGCCAGCGGGCAGCGGCGCAGCTCGCCAGCTTCGATCCTCTGACCTTCCACATTGCCAAGGCGCTCATTGGGTACCTTGTTTACACAGGGAAGTTCACCTTTTGGGGCCTCTTCCATGAGGCCGCTATCGAGGACATCAACAGTGCTATTCCGGGCCACTGGCCCGGGGTCATCACTGGTTCGGCGATCGGCGTGATCACGACTCTATATGAAGCTATTCTGAGGAGGTAGACATGCCATGTCTTAACGGCTAGTCATGCGAGCTTCCTCTTTCTCGCTTCTGTGGTGTTGGGAAGCGCTCGAAATCTCCGATTTTGATATCTTACAAGTGGAATTCACCTGAGTTCGTACGGAGGGGGTATTTAGTTCCCTCCAGGCAGTTGTAAATACCAGAACAGTCGATTTGGGGCGTGGATGAGATGTCCATGCGATGGCAGGTCCAAAAAGAAAAAAAGAAAAAGACATCACTTGTCTCAGAGAGGAAGAGGCTGACGGGACCGTTGTACTGGATCGAGGAGCTGGTCTTTGAATTTGCTTTGCTCTGCGTTATCTTTTTTTGTGAATGATTTGCATGATTGTGTTCGGGAGGATCGTGTCTATCGTTTATGATTTGTCTTTCGGGTCTGATATCTGGCGCAATCAGCGGGATAATGTTGCTGTTGGATGTTCCGTGAACTTCAGGTGTTCTCGCTCGATCTGGTTGCTAGCTTTGTCAGAAAGCTGGGTCAGAAGGCGCTATTGGCTTAGGGGTTACTGTTCATTTTTATTGCTCTTTTTCTTTTTTGGATGTGATATATCTCCATGTTTGGTAAATGTGATGTAGCAATCGATAAGAATAAGATATCATATGCGTACAGACCGAGATCGCTACTTAGTACATTCAAGGTATCTATACTTCTATACTTAGTATCTATAATGCTATTGACAACCCATCCACAAGCTCTGTCCGTTCCTCACCACTTCTCCCACACACAACAACACCCTAAGGTTCAAGGATGCCAGGTATCATTTCTTCTTAAACCGCTCCGCCAACTCCAACGTCAGCAACACAGGCACCTTAGCCTCCACCTTCACCACATCCGCCCGGATATGATTACTCGTGCTAAGCTGGCCCCCAATCTCCGTCTTCCAGTCCGCCACATCCCACTGGAAGCCCGCGGTCGTAATGCGCGCCGGCCCGCACAGCGGGATTATCCCCACGTTCTCTTCCAGGAGATGCTGCGCTGCTGCTGCCGTTGCCGTGTTGTTACCTTCAGCCCCAGCACCTACATCCCCAGCTTGACCTTCCCTCTCGGTTTCCCCCTGGCCTTCTTCAGAGGTATTCCCCTCCCCAATCGGTCGATTCACCCGCGGCGTCTGCACGATATTCCGGCCCGCCTGCAGAACGAACGTGATACTTTCCTCCGAGACGAGGTAGAGATTCTCACTCCCACTACCACCTCCACTAACCCCCTTTCCAGGGCTGGTTTGGCGCAGCTCCTGCGTCATGTAGAAGAGATGGTGGATCTGCGAGAAGGCTTGGTCGACGCGGCCGCCTAGGCCGCCTAGGACGAGAATATCGAGGGGTGGGGTTGTGGTTGGTTCTTGGGGTTGAGCTTGAGCTGTAGCTTGGCTTTGAGGTTGGGCTGGGGCTTGGGGTGTTACTGAAGCTGGGACTTGGGCGTTAGGCGGAGGAACAGCTGCCCCGGCGAGGATACTCGCCGCGTTGCTCCGGATGTACTGGAGGCTCTTGTGGAAGTCCGTGCTGTAGTCGTCGACGTGTTGGATTACGGGTACCCCTTGGGTTTCGTAGTGGGTGCGGGTTTGCGGGTTTATGGAGTCGAGGTCGCCGATTATGGCTGTTGGGAACTTTGGTTTCGGTTAGTTTTCTCTTCGGGGAATGGGGGGTTTTTTTAGAGAGGGTAACTCCGGTCTGTTTTGATATGTACTTTGTTGGACATACAGGGGTGGAAGGATGCTTACGTCTGTATACTCCCTGCCGCGGGCTTTCATCATCTCGTAGAAGCGGTTTGCGCCGCCGTCGGCGCAGACGGTCATGCATGCTTGCCGTTGTTGTTTGTTAGTTAGTCCGGGGTAGGGCTTGCTGTTTGCTTGCCAGGGACGGACAGGTACACGAGAAACTCACCGTGCTGTTGCAGAACCTCGTAGGCTTTCTCGTTGATTGGATGGTTGAGGATCAACAGCGCATACGGCGAGGGAGGATCTCCCTCGCGGAAGAATTGCGTCGGATCCCACTCCGTCACCGGGGTTTTGAGTCGGTATGGGAGATCCATCATTCGGGGTGCTCTTTGTGAGGGTGATTCGGAGAAGACTGGGTTTTGATAATCCCGTTATCAAATGCGACTTTTGGAGGGGGGTCTGCTAGGCTTTGCGCGCTTTCAGTCCTTTTTTGGTTTCAGAGATGATTGTATAAGGTTGGTCGTTGTGAGCGGGTGGGTGGGCACGGCTCAGGAAAGTACTCGTTGATAGCTGGTCACGCGAGCATTTCGACGTACATACATCTACTTAATCTTGTCGATCGATGGTCTGATCTGGCTGGATGATCTCATCTCGCACGCACTGATAAACCCCTCCAAATCTGCCACAGCCACAGCCACATTCACATCCACATGGCCGATCGCGGGGTGTGGCTGAAAACTTGGGGTGACTAAGCTTATCTAACGTAATCGGTAAGCGAGTCGGCCACGTAAGCGAGTCGGCCACCGCAGTCTTGGCAAGCAGCCGGTTATGCCACCCATATCGGAATTTTGATTTACATACAAAAAATGCAGTATTCTTAAACGTTTATATAGCTGTTTAAACGCCTGCAATTATGCTTAATCCTTCCTTGTTAAACACCTCGTACGTGTATATCCAAGAACACCACACATGCTGCAGCGAGGCGGCGCGCGGCGGCGAGGTTGACCCTCTGCAGGCCCTGTATCACCGGCTGCTTCCTCTGCAGCCTGGGCGTTTGCAAAGGCTTCAC